GGTCACGTAACTCCACCTCCCCTGCACAATGCCAGTGCCCTCTTTGTTATTTGCTGTCACCACTGATCTCTATTTATTAACTGGATTTCTGATAGGCCGTTGGTAGTACATGGTGCTGTGTAGTCACCAGCTGCCATATTGGTACTCCCAGGTTAGGCTGGTTGGAATGTAAACAGAACGTGCGCTACCGCATCGAACAATGATGATGTTCTTGTCTTCAGGGGGGCTTAAGACTTTTAAAATAAAGGTCAATTAATCACTTTGACACACACTTGCTGTTTCATACCAGCAGTAGATTACTGTAACTTATGGTAAAAAAAAAAAAAAATAGGCAGATCACATTGTATAGTCAGTATGAAATTAATGAAGTCTATAAATCATTTATTATAATGGATTATACAAACCCCTCACAAGAAATTTAGTGTTAATGGAGAATAGTAGTACTGTAGTCAGATATTAAGCAAATTACACACTATCTGATGATGTGCCATAAGTGCTAAATTGATTTTGTACATGTAATATACATTTATTAATTACATTGTTATGGTAATTACATCATATTACAGGCATTTTTAGGGCGTGACTCAGTGAGAGTAGGGAGTACCAAGATGGTGGCAGGTGACTTCAGTTCTGTTGGCCTATCAGCAATCCAGTGAATAAATAGAGATCAGTGCTTGCCACTACAACAAATCCCATGATGCTTTGCAAGGAGAGCTCTCACAAAGCAATCTGGGGTATATCTGCTCATTTAGTGGCAATGGACGATCACTACTTTTGAAGGTGCATTGTAGGAAATTTCAATTACACTACTTTTTCATCCTCTTGATATTCAGATACTCATTTAAAATGGCTTAACCACTATGTACAGCCCTATATAGGGATTAGGGCGAATGTTCAGACAGCCACAGTTTCTTGTATTTGTGCCAAAGTCTTTGTGAAGTAAGTTTGCATTGTGTTTATTAATAAACAATGTAAATGACATAATTTTGATTTTGTGATTGTTTTAACAAAGAGATTTAACTATAAATATAAATTCCTGCAAGATCACCATTTCACATTTTGTATTACCCTTCCTTTACACTGATAATCTGACTGACTGTTTACTGGAACGTTTAAAACAAATCAAAATCTTAAAAAATGTTTTAGTATTTTTGTCAAACATTTAAGAAGTGAAGCTCGTAGTACATGCATAATTATACATAGAGTCAAATAATTTCAGGTTGTATTGCTTGCTGTTTTGATAATTATGGCTTATAGATGATGAAAACCTCAAATGAAGTTTCAGGGCAGATAAGAATATGTCCCATGCACTCTATACTTGGTTGGGCCTTGCTTAGCTTAACTGATTGCATGGAAGCAGCACGGAGGTGGTCACCCTGTGGTTCTGCTGAGATGTAATGGAAGCTCGGGTTTCTTTATGGGAGCCTTCAGATCATCTGAGTGGTTGGGTCTGGTGTCTTTCATATTCTTCTCGACAATATTTAACAGACTTCAATGGGGTACTGGCAGTTGTCACCAAAGCAGCATGATATCAAGCCCTGTTTTTAAAATGAAATTATTATTTCAATACAGCTTGACAGAGGAAGACGCATTAGGTGGTTAATAATTTCCTTATAATAGACTGTATTGACTGTAGACATCAGAAAACACCAGGAGATGACATTGCCCCCCAAATCTGACTGGATCCTTCACCCTGGACTTAATCCACATTACTTTATGTGCCTCTCCACTCCTCCCTCAGACTAAAGGACTCTGATTTCCAAACAAAATCAAAACTATACTTTAGTGGGTTAGGGTTATTTCAGAAAAATCCATCCATAGCTTTTTAAGTTATTTTGAAAACAGACTAACCAACGCTGATGAAAACATAACCCCCTCAGCGGAGGTAATTAATTGGATATTAGTCAACAGAAAATCATGAAAACCAAAGATTACAGCAGCATGGTCAGTGATACAGTAGCGGAGAAGTCAGAAGTCGGGTTACATTATTAAAAAATAATAACCCAAGCATCTATCTCACAGTTCAGTAGTGCTGTTCATCCCCTGAAAATACAGAATGTATAACACAACTGCAAACCTATAAACATGGCCGTTCTCCTAAACTGACAGACCGAGCAAGAATAGCATCAATGAAAGAAGCAGCCAATAGGCCCATGGTAACATTGGAGGAACTATGAAGTTTCATAGCTCAGGTGGGTTCATCTGTAAAAATCTACCTTTTATTGAATGAAAGCAAGAACAAAATTAACATTTCTGCACAAGCTGTGCAGAGGACATGGCTCTGAGAAGGCAGAGATTTCTGCATGCAAAATGCTATGTGGAAGAAAACAAACTATGCACATAACTACTATCAGCCATCACCTGGTAGCCGCATCATGCTGTGGGGGAACTTTTCTTCAGCCAGGATAGGGATGGTGGCAGAGGTTGACCTTTTAGCAGGACAACAACCATAAACATACATCCAGATTAAAGCATACATAAGAATGGCAGAATGAAATTCCAAGAAATTCACTTGTGGCAATTTACGAAAATTGCTCTTAATGGAAAGTCTACATGTAATCTATTAATTATAATTTAAAAACCATGTATGTAATTTGCTTTTTATGCCGGTTATGCGCAAATGTGATTAAATTATCACATTTCAGAGGATTTTAGTTCTTTTGCAGGGAGGTGACGGGTTAACCAAACCATCAAATACAGAACTTGATAAACATGCATGACACGGCATGCTGAAAGTAGCTCTACAATTTAGGATGATAAACTTGCATGGGCATTAAGGAGTGGGGGGTGGTCTTCTGTTTGCCAAATAACACTGGGTGGTTACATTTGAGCCCCAGGTAGGTCAGCATGTGTCTGAGGCCCGCCCTGATCGCTAACCCGCAGCCTGCATATGCTGCCAGCCAAACTCTATCCAGACCTGCTGTCTAATGCATGACATAGCTTCCACCTCTAGGCTGTAGATGAAACAGCGCTCTGGCATCCACAGACATGACCACTATGATGCTATAAAAGACAATAAATCTTTCCTCAGAATGATGCTGCAACAAGGTCATCCTTCCCTGCTGGTTCGCATGCAGAAGCACAAACCGCTGCAGGCTTTGGGCAGTTTAAGCGGTGAATCTTGTTTCCTATGACTCTATTTCCTCTGTTGTCATTCAGACAGAGGTTGTGTGTTTCTGATTGTGTTTTTTTTCTATCACATTGCTGGGGTATGGGAGAAGGATACACATAAACAAAACCATGTTATGAGGGGATTTTGCGGGAGGAGAGCAGCAGATGTCTCCTACCAGACCACTCACAGCTGGACGTTGTGTAACAGAGCTGTGGAGAGGCAGTGCAGGAGTGGCAGGGGGATGCACGACTGGATTGGTTGTTGCAAATCTTCCATGTGGCTTCTAACTAACACAATGACAGGGGAAAAGCACAGTAGACACACTATTATGCCAGAGAGACGGGGAAAACAGACTGTTCAGAAGAGATGTATGTTCCCAAGCAAGAGGATTCTATTACAAAACTCATACTGACCACAACATGGCCCAATAGCGTGCAACTTTGTAGAGCATAAATAAGCAAGAACTCTACAGGATCTCAAGTGTTTCATCTGATTCTTGTGACATTTCTAAGAATGACTCAAAATTTGTCAGGGTCAATATGATGTGGTGAAACAAGGTGTGTGCTTCAATTAAGCACTCTGTGGCGCGTCTTGACCAAGCAAAAGAAGAGCTGCAGTGAATTCGCACAAACCCAGAAGTGCATTACCTAAATGTGAATGCAAAATGTTGGCTTTATGTCCTGCGATCACATGAAAAACAAGGAGTTTATTGGACAGAGCAGCGAGCAAAAGGTGAACATGAAGGAAAGTCTCCCAACAAAAATGACTAAAATAATCCTGAAACAACAGTTCTATGCAAAGAGTATATTATCTTACTGGCAAACAGTTTGGTGAATGCAAAAATATATATGAACTTAAGGGACACCCCCTTTCAGGTTTAATATGATGTTGGTAAACCCTTTAAAGCTACAACAGCTTCGGCTCTTCTGGAAAAGTCTGCCTACAAGGTTTAAGAACATATGAGAATTTTGGAGGTCATAGACTAAAACAGAAGGCCTGGGTCTCCATCTCCGCTCTGATTCTTCACAGAGTTTGCGAGTAAAAATAAAGCTTTACGGCATGGAAGTAATATTTACAGTAATTATTATCAAAAGAATGAATATTACATACAGTGCACTTTATATATACATATGCTATAGTGCTTTAAACAAATAAGTTGGGAAAAAAATATGAATCATATTACATGGTCATCAAACTTGAAAAAACTGCGCCCCCCAAATAATTCAAAATTATTATGGATGACAGTGAGCATTGTTAGACAGTCTGCAGAATGAGGCTTCTCAAGATCCGATGCGAGAGACCGCTACAGAAGATCCTTCCTATCTACAGCTATCAACACCTACAACAACTTGGTGAAAGAAAGAAAAAAAAATTGTTATTAAAATATTGAATTGCGCTTTGCAATTAATAAAGTACTTTTGAATGAATTTGGAAAATTCAGAAGTCTAAGATCAGCCAAAAAAGTAGGAATATAACATATTGAAAACAATAGAATAGGCAGTTTACTGTAAAGGGGAGTGGTGGCCTAGTGGTTAGGGCATTACGCTTGGAATCCAGAGGTTCTGACTTAAAGCCCCACTGCAACTCTGGGTCCCTGAGCAAGACCCTTAACCCCACACCGCTCCCCAGGCACCAAACAATGGCAGCCCACTGCTCCCCAAGGTGATGCATTGAATGCAGAGTTCATTTCATTGCTCTTTACTTGTGATAGTGTAATCACAAAAAACAAAAAAAGCTGCACCAAAGTTGTCAAATCTCAAGTCAAATATTACGGGCCTGTGCGACACAGTTCAAATTGATATGAAGATTATCAATAAATGTAGCAGGTCTACCTTTTTGCATTGCACTTGGTCATCATATGTCATCAACGAAGAGAGGAGAAAACAAATTATAGCACAGGTTTGTCATTTTTATTAAAAGAGTTTCTTCTTCACACCATATCCTACAGCAAAACAATAATAAAAACACAAAAAGTTTTATGAAACTGAAGCCAGTCTTGATCTTCCGGCTACGACTTTGCAGCCTCATCGTCGTCCTCTCTCTGCATCTGCTCTATGAGCTTCTGTCGCTCGGCGGCCTGCCTCATCCTCATCATCACTATCGTCTCATAGTCACGCTCATTTGAAAGGGAACCCTATGAAAAACAGAGATGAATCATTAGGCAAGCTTGGTCTAGTGTAGCATAATAGATAGAGTTAAACATATTTTTGTTTTCTTGGTTTGGATCTCAAAAAGCCAAATGTCTGTTTTAAATATATGACAAACTGAAAGAAGCATTGTTAGTGTTTGATCTCTGTCAAATTTTATAAATGGGTACAGAGGAAAGATGTATTATCTCAGCTACAAGCAGCATGACAGGGAGATCCAATACGAGCTAGTTGCTCAGACAGACGCTGTGATGAAACATTTCTGCAGCCTGAATTGCTCCAGTCTGAGCCTTAAGGCTGAAAACAGCCTAGTACCATCCTAAATGATGAATCAAATAATGCACCCATAAAGAGTTAATGAAACAATATGAAACAAAAAATAATAAAACTTTTAATCATAATACAAGAGTTTTTTAATCTTTAAAAAGAAGTGCTACTTTAACATATAAAGTGAGCCCTGCATAAGACATTAATTTGATCCTGATTTGACAGAAAAATATCACATTTTAAAAGAAAAGAGGGATTATTTCTCTGCAGCACGAGCCATCCATGAAGGATTATATATACAAATATGTTCTCTGTGCCAAGAAAATGTCTCCTTACCGAGACACAGAACTGTGGGAGTGGGGGGGTGTGCGTGCGTGCGTTAGAAGACATGATTGAGAACAATTTGAAGAGAAGAGGTAGGGTTTTGTCAATCCGATCGCTGAGCTGAGACATCTGGAAAGCATCAAGGGGACTCCACTATCCATGTGCAGAGAGAGACGGAGGGTAAAAGTGAGGAGGAAGAAGAGAGCGGAGGGTCCATGAAGGGAAGCTGCCCTCCACTCCACCCCTGGATTGAGGAAAGCTGCTATTATCATTCCAATAATGTGAACTCAAGCCCTCGTCTGGCACGCAACTATGAATTATCACGCGAACACCATTAGGTAAATAAACAACTTCTGCATCTTCAAGCTAAATAAAACATAAACAAGTGCAAAGAGCCAATTTCTCAACCAAACGCATCCTTCATCTAGCATGCCCTCTACTGGAAATACTACTAAACTGCATCCAAAAGAACTGCAGCTCTGTTAGGTTTTACCAACATGCTTTCCAGTGGTGTTAAAAGAATTCTGATCACTAACAGGTGCTATATGGGAAATGTGAGTTATCTTGCCTGGGGAGTTAATTTACAATTTAGATGTTCAGCCAGTGCATCACCCAATAACTAAACACTTATATCCATTCGTGCCTGTGTGTGTGTCTAGTGCTGTAATACTGGAACCCAGCGAGAGTTGGAAACCGAAAAGCACCACCCAAAAGAAGGATTTTTAAGTCAGACATGTGTCATGCTAAGGTCTACACGAAAAAGACTGGGCTATTGACAGTTAATCAGCAGAAACTTCTTCAAAGAATCAAAGGGTCATTTCTAAAAAGGGAATATTAATGAAAGATTTTCTGGAAGGAAAATTTGAGGCAGAAAAATATGTAAGGATGTGTGATGGCTGGAGGCAGTGCTTCTAAACCACCACACATACAACAGGAGATGGGATGTAACTATAGCATTATATTAGATAAGCAAATGTGTCATAAAAAGGGCTAAGGAAAAAAAAAGATTAAACTGCTGTTCAGCTGTTATAATAGTATTTTTTAGGTTTCATTTAGAAATTAAAGTCTTAAGGCATGGAGGAGAGACTTTGATGACATTTATCAATAAGAAAATAACCGAGAACATGTGGTATGATAACAATGAAATTAGCGACCTAACAGGAATTCTTTAACCAATGCTGAATAGAAATGGAGAATTAACTTCCCAACAAGACTTGGCACCAGACCTGTCCAGGACGTATCCTGCCTTTCGCCCATTGACAGCTGGAGATGAGGACCAGCAGCCCTTGTAACCCCAGCAGGGATAAGCGTGACGGGAGATGGATGGATTGACTAGGCACCTTCCCACACTGCCATAGGCATTATACATGATTTAATAATCATGGTTTCAGAGTGCTTTATTGACCAGCAAACTGGCCTGACCTAAATCCTAAACAGAAAACGGGGGATATGCTATCACAGGAAGATCTAAAAATAAGTACAAATTTCTTAAAATATGTGTATTTGCCCCTAATTTGATCAAACAAACACAATCTGATGATGAAATTAGCATTCCTATCCTTAATAGGAGATTTAGATATTGTGCACTTTAAATAAGGTAATGATTTTTTTCTTGTTTTAAATTATCACATTCCATTACTTAGTGACAAATTGCTTGCATCAGATTGCCTCCATTAGTCAAACTGATGGATGAGTCTGGGTTTGGTTGTTTCTTGGAGACAGTTCTAGCTTTCTTTCTTCCAGCTTTCAGGGAGCAGTCTGAAACTGTACAAGGTTCACTTTGTAGAAATGACTGAAGTTTCCTTCATGTTATATTAAGATGTTATGGTACAAGTAAACAATCTGAAGCTTAGCTTTACAGTATGTCTCAGCAAATGGCTTATCTCCCCTAACAGCCCAACCCCTGTCTGACCCCAGGTCAGTTACGACATCCTGAACAGCACCGGCTCTGTGAGTCAGGCAGTTTAACACACACAGATGAAAGTCTCTAATAGAGCAGGTGGCCACCGTGTTCCCCAGCACGACTTGTCGGATCCACTTCGCATTACAGCACTCCTTTTAGTGTGTGTGAAGCACAGATGACTGTGTAAGCGGGTCTAAGTGATAAAAACGACAAGTTGCAGCATGAGTATGATGAGCGTTTCCTGTTAAAATACTTGTCATTCCATGCTGTCAGCACTGCAGCCTAAAAGATGACCAAATAATGGATTACTCATTGATACCGCCTGTTATCTGAGAGCTTTATGTAGACATTGGCTTTGCCAAAAAAAAACTGGACAGACTTCTAAGGCAAGAAAGGGTTTTTTTCCCCTAACAAGCCTTTTCTGTGTTGTAGGCCAACATTTCAGACGGTAATGCACTGTGGTCAGGTTAATCAAGGGACTATTTATCTGAAGTGTGTGAGCAGTGGCATAGCGTGTGTTTCTTTGTGTCACAACCTCTTGGGTACGTGATTCATGGAAGCCAAAGTCCTACATACTTATATTTCGAGATTGTTAATGTGTGTTCCAGTATCAAATGATGGGGCAAAACAAAAAAAGTGACATTCCTGCACAGACACAACGTAAGCGTCTGTAACACTAGTGAATTAATCATCATTCATTACAACAGTCAGCAGACATACAACACTAAAGGTTGAGACAATTAGGCATTTTGCCTTGTGTATTTAACTCTTTATGGGTCTTGCTTAACTGTGATGGTCCAACATATTTTTTAACTACGCAGGCCATGTGAGAAAGGGAGCTGAAGTGGCTCAGACTCCAGTCAATTGTTCCCTAATTTTCAGAAATATAATGGTATCTTAGTTTAGTTGTATTTATATTGTAGTCAATGGAGTTTTATCTGACCAACACAAATTGTGTCTTGCGGAATATACACTATATTGCCAAAAGTATTTGCTCACCTGCCTTGACTCACATATGAGCTTAAGTGACATCCCGTTCCTAATCCATAGGGTTCAATATGACGTCGGTCCACCCTTTGCAGCTAGAACAGCTTCAACTCTTCTGGGAAGGCTGTCCACAAGGTTTAGGAGTGTGTTTATGGGAATTTTTGACCATTCTTCCAGAAGCGCATTTGTGAGGTCGCACACTGATGTTGGACGAGAAGGCCTGGCTCTCAGTCTCCGCTCTAATTCATCCCAAAGGTGTTCTATCGGGTTGAGGTCAGGACTCTGTGCAGGCCAGTCAAGTTCATCCACACCAGACTCTGTCATCCATGTCTTTATGGACCTTGCTTTGTGCACTGGTGCACAGTCATGTTGGAAGAGGAAGGGGCCAGCTCCAAACTGTTCCCACAAAGTTGGGAGCATGGAATTGTCCAAAATGTCTTGGTATGCTGAAGCATTCAGAGTTCCTTTCACTGGAACTAAGGGGCCAAGCCCAGCTCCTGAAAAACAACCCCACACCATAATCCCCCCTCCACCAAACTTTACACTTGGCACAATGCAGTCAGACAAGTACCGTTCTCCTGGCAACCGCCAAACCCAGACCCGTCCATCAGATTGCCAGATGGAGAAGCGCGATTCGTCACTCCAGAGAACGCGTCTCCACTGCTCTAGAGTCCAGTGGCGGCGTGCTTTACACCACCGCATCCGACGCTTTGCATTGCACTTGGTGATGTATGGCTTGGATGCAGCTGCTCGACCATGGAAACCCATTCCATGAAGCTCTCTGCGCACTGTTCTTGAGCTAATCTGAAGGCCACATGAAGTTTGGAGGTCTGTAGTGATTGACTCTGCAGAAAGTTAGCGACCTCTTCGCACTATGCGCTTCAGCATCCGCTGACCCCGCTCCGTCAGTTTACGTGGCCTACCACTTCGTGGCTGAGTTGCTGTCGTTCCCAAACACTTCCATTTTCTTATAATACAGCTGACAGTTGACTGTGGAATATTTAGGAGCGAGGAAATTTCACGACTGGATTTGTTGCACAGGTGGCATCCTATCACAGTTCCACGCTGGAATTCACTGAGCTCCTGAGAGCGACCCATTCTTTCACAAATGTTTGTAAAAACAGTCTGCATGCCTAGGTGCTTGAATTTATACACCTGTGGCCATGGAAGTGATTGGAACACCTGATTCCAATAATTTGGATGGGTGAGCAAATACTTTTGGCAATATAGTGTATCTAGGATCTTTGTATATCTGTGCAGAGATAATGTTTCCTTTTTTTCTCTGTTTTCTGTTTTATCAAAATTTACTTTTTTTTTTTTTTTTTAGATTTAAGTTTCGACTAATCGGATTAATTCTGAATCATCAGTTATCGAAATAATCGTCAACTAATTTAGTAACCAATAATTGTTATCTGGAGTATAGAGATTGTTAAACATGCCTGTAGCTGAAAGAGCAACTCATTTAGAGCAGTAATTATATAAAAATTGTACAAAATTATACAAACATTTTGCATTTAAGATGGGGAAAAAAATGTCTGTCACGATGCTCTATCTAGAAGTGAAGTGGAAAATTTAGTTTCACCTGGTTTAATTTTGTAAAAAGTCTGCTTTAAGTAATCTTTTTCGATCAAATTATTAATCGATTGATCCAAAAATGATTTATTAATCATTCTGCAAAATAATCATTAGTTGCAGCCCGAATTTAGATTCATCCATGTTCTTATGAAATCTGACCAGATACAAAAAAGTAGTTTCCAAGTGAAGCAGTGAATGTCTACAGCTCCTTTAGTCACCATGGACCACTCTGATGCTTTAGTGATTAAACTTCTCCATTGTAGGTGTACAGGCATGTTTTGGTGGATTTGCCATACTCTGTTCAGTTTATGGATTTTGGGGCATAAGTGAAGTGAAAATCTACCTATTAAAATGTTTGATCAAGGTATTTCTGTAAACCTTGGATTAACACTTGTCAGCTTCAGCGTAAAACATGAACTGTAGTGCTTGTTTATGGATATTAGGATACAACCAAAATGCAAGTTTAAGTGTTGTTGTTTTTTTTTTACATATGAGCAAATGCGCCTGTGTAGCATTTGATTTTTGTTTTAATGAGAACAGACGTCTGCTTTTACAAAATCAGAGATTTTCTTTGGAATCTGTAGAAGGAAAAAAACCGAGACATGAAAAATGGCTACAAAGATCTCAAATCCTGGCATTTTTCTTTTTGATGGAAAGGCTTTAAAAAAAATTAGGAAAACATGAAATGGAGGTCCACTGCCTGGCTTGTCTTCCAAAAAGGTAATAATAAGCAAACTTATGTCTTTCACGGCCTTAGGTTCCTGGAAAAGCTCTCTGATTGCAAAAGTTTCTTTGTTAAAACAAATGAGTTTGTGCGCCTGGTAGAAGACCAGTGCTTAAGCTAAAATTATAAAGTGTCAAACCAAAACTCAAAATGTGGCTTTGGATTAAACATGTCTGCTTTGTGTTAACCTTCAAGCATTTCAGTTGAAGCCAATGCATTATTTGTCACCACTTAACGTCTGTATGAATTCACCACAACCTAAGCATGAATTGACCACAGTATATTATAACATCCTATTTTTATTCCAGTTAACTAAGAGAAAGATTGTAAAAAATATGCAATTATGTTTTTTCTTTTTTATTTAGACCAAAACGGATGAAGTGTTTTAAAAAGATTGCATTGAATTTGCAAAAAACAAAATTATAATTTCTGTTTTCAACTCATGACTAAGAAAGCATATTATTGCAGCCGGTGGGAAAAGCCATTTATGATCAAATGCTTAAGTAAAGAAAATAGATTCAGGCTGATCTTCATAAAATAAAAATTATTTTTATATAATGGTTGCACAAGTATTGTCTGACCCTGCCAGTTTATCAGTATCCTGATAACTGAGCTTAAAAGTAAAAAGCCTCAAGATCATAATTTCTGTAAAAAAGATCTCAACAAAAACTGAGTGAAGCACAAAAGCATTAAACCAGTTTTGATCAAATGTTCTTAATTAGATGATTAGCAAATATAACTACGGCTAGAAGAGTTTTAGCAGTTTTCTAAGACATTCAAGTAAGTGTTTATATACAGTCACTCTATATGAAAGGAGGACCTTAATTTAGTCGACAGTCACATGGTAAGGAACAAAAGTCTTATCTTTGACCAGAAAACATCAAAACATCGCTTTTTTTCTGGAAAATAGCACCGAAATTAAAACAGTTCTGCTCCAGAACTATGGAGAACAGTTTCATTCATTTAATATATGAATGAATAGAGGAAGGCTGCTTTTGATAAATCGTTAATAAATATAATATGAAATTAATGTTTCCATGAAGTAGAACTAATTATATATTCTTACTCTTTTTTCATTTTAAGCTCTTTTGATTTGATTAGGGTTGTCAAAAGTATCGATACTCAAAAAAGTATCGATACTGAAACGTTGTATCCGGATACAACACTCATTTTCAAAAGTATCGATACAGCCATCTAAAGTGCAGAAAAGTGGAAAATGCACTTTATGAACATTGTGTGATTGAATAATTCTGTGCATTTTTCAGTTTCAAACTTTTTTTGTAACAGGTGCAGCTGCTGAGAATTATTTTTGTTTCTTAACCAGTTTGGCCTGTGTCATAGTTATGTCTGCAAAACATAGCCAAGGAAGGAACCCTTAATTTTAATTTTGTAAGTTTTTTATCAAGCTTGCTTAATATTGTGCACAGCATACAACCACAAAATATTATTCTTCTTGTTTTTTTTTTTTATTTCTTGTATTTTTTTTGTAATGAAAATATTTCTGTTGAATTTTAGAGTCTTTGTTTTTATTCTTGTGGTATAGAAAAGGGTATCGAGTATCGAATATTTTACTTAGTATCGGTATTGAGTTGAAAAGTTTAGTATCTTGACAACCCTACATTTGATGCGCTTAAGTTCAAATGGTGGGGGGGTACCTGTGTGGTGACTTGATATTCCTAGTACAGGACTTGGACCAGATATCTGCAGCACTACCATTGCATCAAGAATGTTTGCAGCTTCTCTCAATGAGTCTGAGACGCTTCTGTTTGCAGACACTGTAAATCAGTTGATTAAATTTAGAAAGATTAGAAACCTTCTGCAAACGGTCGCCAAAAATTTGGGATAAATTCTTTTCTTCTTCTCTCGTTTGTTATTTTGCAAGCTGGTTCCTTTTTTCCCTCTGAACTGCTGACTTCTAACCAGCACAAGCACAAAGATAAACCACACCACATTGAAAAACAGAGTTAAAAGGAATTATAAGTCACTGAAACAGACTTAACTAATACAAGTGCAACAAAAAAAAATCCACAACTCCATTATGAAAAGAATAAATTATTCAATTACTTAATTTATGTAACTAAATAAGATCATTTTATTTTAAAGTATTCAGATTTACTTCATGGTGACGTGTATTTATTCAATAGAATCTTTATTTCTAATCAATCAATAGCAGCATTTATTTATTTATGTATTAATTTACTTAATTTTGGTGGAAACGCTTCTCCATACAGAAGAAGAAAGAAAACACTAGTCTGTGTATTGCTCCCCTCAGACTACTGGCATTATTTGTTATTAGTACATGTGGGGAAAAAATAAAACTGATCTAAAACAGTTGGATTAGAAGAGATTACAATTATTTAAACATGGCATCTCATCTTCATTCAAAAAGAAAGTTTAAAAGTTGTCAATGGTTAAAAAATATGTCAAATGTTAAATGACCAAGAATTGTTTAAATTTAAGAAGAGGTCTGTTCCATTTGTACGCAAAACATCAGATACAGTAAAAAAAAAAAAGGGTGTTTGCTAAGAGCAAAATAACAAAGCATATCTTAATTATTGAAATGCAGCTCATTTTGAGGTTTTCATAGTCTGAGAGAATCATGAGTGCAGTACAGGCTGAGATATTCAGTAAAGCTATGTGTGCCATTTCAGACACAGTCAAACAATGTATTAATTAAAAGGACCCAGACAAAGCAAGCAATAAATCCTGTCTAAGTGTGGGCTGTCTAGGAGTCTTAGCACAGCAGAAGCTGGAGAACACAAAACAAAGGGCTTGAGGAGTATCCACCAAAGCCTCAATTTGGGCTTCTAGCACCAGTCAAAGAAATATCTGGAAACAGTTTTTCTTCTGCGAAAAGGATGAAAAACATGATTTCAGACCCAACAATAGCTTCATCAAACCGCACTGCCCACCATGGTCAGGCATTAGGAAAGAGGCTTAGAAATGTAGCTCAGACTAAAGCAGCCTGCAGGCTACATGGCATGAGAGCACCACTAACAGAGAGCCCAGCCTCAGTCTGACTCTAGTCTTCTGAGGCTCTTACTAAACATTGCAGATAACGCAGAACCTTCAACCTGGTGGTCTTCCAGCATGCAAGCAGGTTTGCGACTGGAATTGGGATACTTTTCTCAGAAAAAAATATGCTGCAAAACGTTCTCTTTCAGACTTGGCAAGAGGTTAGTTTCATTTGCTTGAGTAATTGTGTCTGGTCTAGGAGACTGTGCTGGCACTGGAGCACAGAGCGGGAGAAGAGGAGAATACGCTGGCAAGCTTTTTGTTTATTGGATGAATTTGAAAGGAATACTGAGAGAAGAAAGGCTTTCTCCTTCATAACATGCATATTTAAATTCAAAGAACAAGGCAAAGATGTTTAAAAGATAATCATACGCCCTTCATCTTAATGCTTAAATGTTTTAGAAGTATTTGAACAAAGTAACAGCTTTAACACGATGTTTACATGAACCAGATTAAAAAGGCACGGATCTGTTTTATTCCCATTATTTGGCTTTAATTTAGCCTAAACTTCTACTGTTATGTCTGTTAGGATTACCAAAATTATTGATTCTCATGAAATAATGACAGGCTTAGAACTTTAGAGAATATTTTATTACGTTCTTTTAGTCAAGAGTTTATAAACACATATCTTTAGATTTTGGTCAAATTGTCTTTAAATGTAGGACTTTGGTCATACTGTTTGTACATTCCACAAAAGTTTGTTAGAATTTCGTTCCATTTCTTCCAACAGAGCATCAGATGAGCCGACTGTTCATGTGTAACAGTTTGTTTTTTGTTGCTTTAGACTTCATACCTTCATGGAATCTTCCATGGAATATCAGGATTTTTTTTCCCCCCTCATTGTAAACTGTAAAGCTGAAAAAGTAAATGCACCTCTGGTTGTGTACTATGTGGAATCAGTACAGCAGAGCAGAAAACAAACCTGTTATTGGAGACAGTTTACAGACCGTTACAGCCTTGCCATGCCAGGGCAGAGACAACATGTTGGAGGCGAGAGAATTGGAAACGCAACCGGTTATTTCTGTTGTGAAACCCACTACGCCTGTTTGGACACGTCTTTGTGGTTTGATTATACAGAGGATCCCAAAACTTCCAGTCAGGCAGAAGAGCCTGTGGAGAGGGGTGGGCTGGTGGGGCTTTACACTAACAAACAGACAGGAAATCAGGATCTCAGTAGAGCCATGGGACAATAGCATGGAGATTAGAGACAAGTTAACCCCCCGTCCTCCTCTTTGTGACTGACATGTTTGCTCTACAACTAGCTCCTTTAATAAGCACACAAGCTAATTTTGTTTCTCATCTTTTCCTCTGAAACATTTCTCTTGAACTAAATGCCCTCTGGCAAAGTTTCGATCTCTACTAATAACAGATGAAAAAAAATGGAGGAGCTTCTGTTTTCCACCTACTTCCCCCCACAGGTAAAGAATGCAGCCAATCAAAGAGCAAAACTCAACGGTAACACCTAGGACTCCAGGGCAGACTTGCTCTGCGGTCAGGATGATGTATTCTCATGAATTGCAGACTTTCTGAAACTGCTCCACTTTACATAAGCTAAGGTAAGAAAAAAAAAAAACACAGGAGGAAAGCCTTCACCTGGATGCCCTTGTACTCTGCCCTCCTCTGGTTTATCATTCACTTAAAGAGGACATTCAGAAGAAACACACCTGTTGGAAAATCTGCAAAGCAGGCCGGATTTTACACCGCTTCAAAAACAGGATTCATTACCAATGAACTAAAAGTCTATCCAAAGGAGGAGAAAGGTAAGAATTTGTTTATTTTCAGTTAAAGTAGCGTATTATTTCTTTCAGAGTTACATCTATAGACAGATTTTAGATTGTTTCAGCATTCTAAAAGCTGAGGAATAACTTTTCTCTCCCATGGATGGCATGTCCCATCTTGTTGAAGAAGAGCTTACCAGGGAAAGCAGTTAGAAGCAGCCTAGATTCCTGACTGAGAAGGGTGTGCATGTGTGGTCTTTTTAATATGCTGTATTTTTCTTTACTACACCAAGAGTGGTAAGTTTATATATATCAATATTCGTCTGCTTTACATTTCTTTGTCATTCTAGACATTCTTCTTGGGGAGGAAACTCTTCAAATTATTTATTTTGAACTCTAAGCTGAGCAAAAGTAATTATTCTAAAAGAAAAGCAATATCAAAAATTGTGTTTGTTTTTTTGTTTTTTTTTGGTTAATCCGTCTTAAGAAGCCAACTTTCTACTTGGCCACGAGGTGTTTCCTCACAGCTGAATTGTACCACTCCTCTTTGATTGACCTGACATGTTTGGAAAGGAATGCTGTTGTGTCCGCGCACTTCCAACCTCCTGCTGCTGCTAAAGTGCCGATAAAACCCTTTACGGGCCGACAAAGCATGTTTGTTGAGGCGGCTTACAAATTCACAGTTAGTGTTTCAAGTCACGAATGTGGAGCTAAAGAGGGCAAAGCTATGAGGAGACTGTAAAAATCCAAAAACGCCCAGGAGATTATCTAATCTGCATGCCGAGGTTGATGAACAGAGTTCTGGTTTTGTAAATAAAATGCTTACAAGTCACGGAATGCAAAGGCTTCCTCCTTTGTAGTATATAGTTTATACAAGATGATGTCTGACATAAAATATTCAAAACAGAGTTATTTAAGACTTGGGTTAAACAGAATATAGAGAAAAACATAGTGTGTCCCTGTTTTGCTGACATCTGGATTTAAATCAGCTCAATTTTAATATCTAAAACTGTTCAAATTGAAATGAAGATTCTTAGAATCCCGTTTCTCCATTTCGCCTTATTCATAAAAATCCCTAAAAACAGCGGTTTTACGAAATCACGGTCGAATATAAGCTCACTCTAAAATTATCTTGAGATAGAACCGGTGGTAACATTTCAATGAGAGTGCATTCAGGCATTTAGTTAAAATACAAAACACTTCAGGATTTCATAGGAACCATAAGATTTTCTAAAAGAATTATAGTACCTGAGTAATATCTGCATCTAATTTAACTTTACATCACTATCTGAGGTCACTACAAATAAAGATTTAATTCATTACACTATTTTTTTCCGCAGCAAAGCCATTTAGATTTGCAGAGAGAAGAATACCTCCTACTTTAAAAACTGTAAGGGGATTCCAACAAACTGAGCTATTACCCTTTTGTTGTTTTAATTTTTGTGCTTTTGTTACTGGAATTCTTAAGTAGATTAATAGACTTCCTCTGGAGGATATGTAGAAGACCACACCTGTGCTTATGGGAAGAGTCTAGGCTTTGGGAAAATAAATATTTATAAATAAAGGTTTCAAAGCATTGCTGGGCCATCCCTCTGCAGCCAAATAATACTGAATTTCATTAGACTAAGAACAAGTCCAACAGGTGCAGTCTTCTAAACAATGGCTGTCAATTCTGATTAAAACTGACAGCAGAGCTCAGCGCTTACATCTGGTGCTGAATACCAGAAGAAGCACAAGCTCGGACTTGCTTCAGACTAGCATTCGTGTAAATCCTAATTGTCTTTTTTGTGTGTGTTTCTTTTTTCTTTGTAGATGTTATTATACATTTAGTCTGCATCCCTTCCGCAGTATTTACAGAGGAGGAAGTCTATCCCCAGCAAATCCATCAGGATGCCACTTAAAACATCCCTGCAAAGAAATTCCTCTTCGAGCCACTGCTCCAGCAGGACCTCAAAAAGGAGAGAAGTGCTGTCTGTCAACATGATCAGTCTACCTCTTGATGATTTCCGCCACGTCACTCACATTGGAATCAATGGCCAAAATGACAGTTTTGGGGATTTATCCTTCCTTAAGATGGGTCAGGGTCTGCTTCGGCAGAGCTCCAAGAGTGAGCAGAACCTCTTCCTGAACTGCAAGCCACCGCCAAAGCCCCCTCGTTTGAATCTGGATGAAAGTGGGGGCGCGCAGAGCCCCGAGTGGGCTGTGGACCAGAAGAGGAAGAAGTGCAGCTCGTTGCCTCTACTGGACAGTGAAGAAGAAGATAAGTGTGAAAATGAGGAAGGGGAAGAAACAAGTAATAACTTTGTTTCTAATCAGACTCGCAGGTTTGGCAGCGTGGGTTCGGATAGGGAAGGAGAGTTTACAGGGAGCTTTGAACAGTTCGATGGATTTAATGAAGAGGACAGTGGCTTTTCTTTCAGTCTTGACCTGGGCCCTTCGATCCTGGAAGATGTTCTCCGGGTGATGGACAAACTGCACAACTGAAGAAGCTTCAACAAGCTTCAATGAGACACAACCTTAATTTTATATCAATAAAGCTATGATGACATGTAATAAAGACAGAATAACTTGGAATGCTATTTGCAGGCCTGGACAAGGCCAGGACAAACTACAAGTGGGAAATGGGAGTCTATGGTGGACTGAATGGATCATTTAATCCTGAACGATGATCTCTGGATCATAAAAAAACTTTAAGGTTAAAAATGGTTCGATATTAAGCAGTTTTAAGGCAATGGAGAAGGATGCCATCAGTTTTTTTTCCAGGAGACACAACCCCTTATTTTGAGAAAGCTACATGATAAGTTAAAGGTTGCTTTCAGGACTGAAGTAATTGGATTAAACATGATTAATCGATTATTGAAATAATTGTCAACTAATTTAGTAATCTATTAATTGCTAAATGGAGTATAGAGACTGTGAAACATGCCTTTAGCTGACAGAGTAACCCACTTAGAGCAGTAATTATTATTTTTTTAATTGTACGACATATATAAACATTTTGCATTTAAGATAAAAAAACAACAACTTTTACGTCTACTCTATTGTGAACTGGACAAATAGAAACATTTTAGTTTCATTAGGTTTGATTCTGTAAAAAATCTTCTTTAAGAAACCTTTGGTTATCCGATTATTAATCGGAAAAATAATCAAGATTAATTGTTTTGCAAAATAATTGTTAGTCACAGTCCTAGTTATTTAACATATTTGCCATCAGACAATATAATGCATATAATGGCTGTCCTGGGAAACAAGTAAAGAAAATATCATTTGATAAGTAGAGCCTAGTTATTCTAAAGAGCCCATGAGAACCAATGTTAACCAACAATATTTTGGTAAAGATAACATATGAGCCCTGTTTTATGTCTGGGCTTATTTAACTTTATCTACAATTCTTCTTTACCATTATAGTACCCCAAACCACAACACCAGAAGCAGCTGTTAGGATTTAAGGCTGTTGTGTTTAAGAAAAGAAAAGCTGAGGCTGTAATCCAAGGTCCTTGAGCTGTGATGTCTTGACTCTTGGCGTGCTTGCCCGTATATTGTGTGCACAGGGCAATTTTTCCTCCGCACGCATCCTGGAGGCCCCACTCGAAGGTAAAGCAAGGTACCCCCCATTTCTCATTCCCAGCAGTGCAGTGAAAACAAACATTTAGCTCTGCTTCCAATAAAAGCAAGGCAGTGGTGGCAGGTTGGGCAGCACACCAAGCCCGGCCACAGGTCCAAGACCCTATAAGAAGAAAGAAATGGCTAAGGGTGCTGTTTTGTTAGCTGAAAATCAGAGTGCTATGATCTGGCGGGTGGTGCTCAGGAAAGAAAGTGGTGATGGGTAACACTATACGTCTAGACGTGCAGTTGAAGAGGGAGGGGGATCAGAGACGGCCATTGCTTCAGCAGAGGTCCTGATGAGGATTTAAACACAACCTTCTGAGCAAATACATGCATTTCATGTATACACAGTGCATTTCTTCTCACATCATCCAAGTGGGTTTTGTGGAGACAATTGAGGTCTATTTTCCTGGTTTTATACTTTAGTGAGGGGGGGTTGACAGACTAATCTGTGAGCAAGCACAAAACCAGCTAAATCTCTTTGCTAATTAGAGGTCACACTAGGAAATAGACAAATATTTTTTCAAGATAGAGGTTTGCAATTCTACACATGTCTAAACAAAATCTATGTGATTTTTGAACACAATTTGAATTGTATGCATTTTGTTGCTTGCAGTGTTTGAACTGGATATTTCTGTCCTGTACATGTTATGACAAATGTTATTGTGAAAGCTGTTAAGCATTGTCAAATCTACCATTCTGTACTCTGGTTCCACCATTTTTGGTTTAGTAGATAAACATGTAGCCTACTTGGCTTCTCAGCACAAGAAGCCAGAATGGATGGAATATGTATTGAATGTCACGATCATCTAACAAGATTAGCAGCTCAATATTCAAAGGTGGAAAGGCATAGCAATTTACAATGAACCAGACGTTGTATATTATCTGCAATCAAAAATATTGCATCATAATAAATACAGGAGTTTCAGGAATAACTGTATGAATTCCACGGCTCTGAGTTACGCCTAAATCCAAACAAAGGTGCCACAGGTGTGAATGTAAAAAGTAGGGCAGTCACCAGGACAACACATATTGGACCCAATAAGTAGAGTTTTAACCTCAATATGTTTGTTTTGTTCTTAAACAGAGACAGCCTAAGTTTAACTAAAACCTAATGCTTGTGCAAACAACATTACCAAATAAAAAAAAACTAATCTCACTATAGAACAAGCCTTTTGTGTAACTTCTTGTCAGGTCTAATTTATCACTAAAACACAGGCTAGGTAAATACATTTTCTGGTACAATTCCACTCCTCTAAAACATGCCTTAATGTGCAGTAATGCTTAATTATAGTGTCTTAAATAACTCTTTTTGCCAATGAAAATTTTTCCAATTTGGTCATTTTCCCAAACTCTGTACTTGAGGGCCACTGTCCTGCAGGGTTTAGAGGTTTCCTGCTCCAGCACAGCTGATTTTCATTGATAGCTGATTAGCAGGCTTTAGCTGAACTGCAATTAATGAAACCGCTAAAAGCTGAAAGTATCGAGTTGGGGCAAGCCTGCATTAGAATCACAAACATCAGTGCACAGCACAGCCTAGCACTTAATGGTGAAGCAAACAGGAAAAAAAGTATCTTTAAAGCATTCCCACAGCATGATGCTGCCACCACCAGATTTGATAGGTAAGGGTTATGTGAAGTGTTAGTTTTCCTTCCACATAAAGTTTAACATGTAAGCCAAACGGTTTAAGATTTAGTCGCATCTTGAACAGAACAACTTGTTTTTAAATAGTGGCTCTGTTCTTTAAACACTTCAAATAAAAGGTAATATTTGTAGACTGTCAACAAACAATATCAAGACAGCTACATGAGCTCTGATCTACATTTGCATACATTTTTATTTTTCTTAAAAAGGTATCTTTGTCTTACATAATCGTTCCAAAGAAAAGTGTTAAGGTTCGCTTTCAGTCTGCCAACTGCACAGCCCCATGCTAAGGATCTATTCCAGACACAAGATCTATTTTCCCAGAGCACACTTTTCAGGCACTAGGAAACCAGCAAACTGGGAAAACGATCCAAGAATAGCTCATCTGATGCATCTGGTTCTGCCGTGACAACCCTTAGCTGACTCTGGGTCTAAATGGAAGAGGCAGGCATATAAAACTCTGATTTAAATGCTGTGTGATGTATTAACCTTAAGTAATACGGTATACTAAATCGAACCATGAACAGAGTGATTAATGATGAGATCATCTCCCGGAAGACTCAAGCATCAAGGCAGACAGTCTGTGGATGTATTACAGTTACAGTCTATCAGTTATTAGACTCTGTAATGCATACAATTGGCCACATGTGTGAATCCTCTCTCTGAACCTGCAAATATGACCCCCTCCTAGAAGGGTTCTGATGTACAGATACTGTGTGTTTGGTTTGAATTCAGCTTATCTGACCACCAAAGGGATATCTCTTATAAAACAGACCCTTTAGGATAAATATTTGTATTTAATAGAAGGCTTACTGTAAAATGTTATTTCCTTCATAATTCTAAAGGGTTTCGTGATGACAGAAAACATTTTTGTTTATTTAAACCATTTCTTGTCCCAGGACGGAATGAAAACATCCATTTAAGTTTGTTTTTTTTGGTCAAAATAAAAATTAGATATATAAGAATTAATTTTTCAAGGACATTTTTAAATGGACACCCCTCTACTAATACCACATTGTGGAGAAACAGTTTTTTTTCGATAGCCACCAAAAATGTCTTTAATTACTTCTGGTTAAACATTGACCGGCGATCATTGACCTTTTCTTTTTCTTTTTTTTAATTGGTAAGGGCAAAGTCCATCTAAAATGGTTGCCTTTCTAACACTAAAAACATGCACCACAAAGCTACTATAGGTGTTTTCTAATTACTGATGTTGGTCTGGTTTATTTTTTATTTTTTTCAAACAATTATGTTAACATGTATCTAAGTTTAATGGCCATTTGGCTTATAATGTTTAGAAGCTGGCTAACTGGAATCGCAGTAATTTCATTTCAACTCTGAAAACAGAAAAAAAAGGAGAAAAAAAAAACAGGTTTATTTGAAATTTTCGAAGTTGTCCAAATTATTGTTCAAATTTCAATAAATGGATGTGTATATTTATCCCTATATGTGCTATTTTAATCTTTTATGGATTAGTGAAAATCCACAATAAATTCAAACTTATTTATCTGGACATGAACACAGTTGTTCTAAGTACTATGAGTCTACTCTTTATAGAAATGCTTTAACAACATTATAAAGTTAAAATTAGTATCTGTAGTCCTGCTGAAGATAGATGTAAACATCTAAATATGTACTGACAATAATAAACAGGGAAGATGCATATGCATTCCATATGTCTACGAATAAATGACCAGAAAAAAAAAACTCCTGTTAGACCAAAGAAGATTGAAAAAAGTAGGAGATACAATTCCCATGAGCAGGGATAGGAACATTCATTTGTTATAGTAAGTTGTTTTTTAAATAATGATAAAAAACAATAAACAGCAATAACTTTTAGCAGAACTTTTACTTTTGAAACATTAGCATATTTTAAAACAATTCTTCAACTCTATTCCCTTATTGTTTCCAAGTAAACATCCAGCCTCATTAACGTCTCCTTAAGTGATGAAACAAAGAGATTCTGACCAGTTAGATACCAAAAATGTTTGAAATTACACATTTTGGTGACTTTACTAAAGCAGTACACATAATATTTCCAACCTGTTATTTAAACTTGAAAGGCAGAAAATTATAGAAATAGGAACTGTAAAAAATTTGATTGAATAACAGGAAATAAAGAAATCGCACAGAATCCCTTCACTTAAAGGTATAATGGAGGATTTTTGTGAATTTTTGAAAAGACTCAGATTCCACTTTAAAAAAAAATGCACATGCACAACCGTGTACCCACTTCTGAGAGGGAACGCCTATTAATCGCGTGCAAGAGCATGCACAAGCCTGTTTCTCCTTGTGCACACTCTGTTTAAAAGTTGCTGTTTGCATCACTCATTCAAGATTTTTTCCACTTTGTCAGACTCACCACCGGTAGTGCAAATGGGGACAGAAACATAAGACTGCCTTATGTAAACATATCACCAGAATGATTGACAATAAGGAGGACCCCTTATTTTGATGATCCACTTGGAAAAAGAAAATCCTCCACTATATCTTTAAGCCAATTCTGAATAGATTTTAAAACTGTGCTCCAAGAGAACGCTCTGGATATTTATAAAATGTATTGCCTGACTAACTGAGAGGAATAATTTAAACACTTGACGTTTGTATGAGTTCAGACCCAAAAGAGCAAATATTCATGAAATAATCCTTTTCCCCTGTTCTATCCTGGAGTTTATGGAAATCGTCTTTCAGCCGGGATCTGATTAATATATCAGTGTTTCATTCTTGGAAAGGTTTGAGATTCAGAAGGAATTCATATATCTGTGCTTTAATTTAAAAACTTTAGCAAGTCTTGCAGCTTTCTTTTAACCGATGCATTACAAAATGTCCTATGCAGACTATTTAAAGAGAAAAAAAGTTGAACCTATAGTAACCCTTTTGTTTCAAGTAATGCTGAAAGAATTAGGTTGTTTCTATGGTTCTTGCTGAAAAACAAAAAGTTATTATGCCGTTTGTAAATATTGGGAAGCGATCTTAATGGAGAGCGTGTCACGGTTCTTCTGATTCATAAGAAAAAACACATTGTCTTCAGATGCATTTAGTAAGCCGAGGAGAACAAGGAACTGGAATCAGGGGTGAAGTCATTTGTGTCTTTAAGCTCCCTTAAGTCAGGCCATGACCTGCTGAGCATTGTGTCTAAATTGATCAAATTAAAGAAGCAAGTCTTCACCCACTCTTCCACCTGGTTTACCCGTTTTAACCATGGGTTCTCACATGCCAACTCAGGTTTTTTAGATCCCAGATGGATTCTGGATGCTTCATTCTTCCCAGAATGTCCCTCAATGTCCACTGATTCAAAAAATAGCAGTGGGTTAACTTACAAAAGGTTGTAAAACCATCAAAAATCTCATAACTGACAAGATTTTACATTGAGAGCCAAATGAAAAATTATCCGGCCAAAATATTTTCATACTCTGTAGGAGGGGGAAGAAAAGGTTAAAAAAGTATGAGGCAATACAGGTGCTGGTCATAAAATTAGAATATCATGAAAAAGTAGATTGATTTCAGTAATTCCATTTAAAAAGTGAAACTTGTATATTATATTCATACATTACATACAAACTCATATATTTCAGATGTTTATTTTGTTTAATTTTGATGATTACAAATGACAACAAATGAAAATCTCAAATTCATCATATCAGAAAATTAGAATATTGTGAAAAGGTTCAAAATTGATGGCCCCTGGTGCCACACTCTAATCAGCTAATTAACTCAAACCACCTGCAAAAGCCTTTAAATGGTCTTTCAGTCTAGTTCTATAGGCTACACAATCATGGGGAAGACTGCTGACTTGACAGTTGTCCAAAAGACGACCATCGACACCTTGCACAAGGAGGGCAAGACACAAAAGGTCATCGCTAAAGAGGCTGGCTGTTCACAGAGCTCAGTGTCCAAGCACATTAATAGAGAGGCGAAGGGAAGGAAAAGATGTGGTCGAAAAAAGTGTACAAGCAAGAGAGATAACCGCACCCTGGAGAGGATTGTGAAACAAAACCCATTCAAAAATGTGGGGGAGATTCACAAAGAGTGGACTGCAGCTGGAGTGAGTGCTTCAAGAACCACCACACACAGACGTATGAAAGACATGGGTTTCTGCTGTCGCATTCCTTGTGTCAAGCCACTCTTGAACCACAGACAGCGTCAGAAGCGTCTTGCCTGGGCTAAAGAGAAACAGGACTGGACTGCTGGTGAGTGGTCCAAAGTCATGTTCTCTGATGAAAGTAAATTTTGCATTTCCTTTGGAAATCAAGGTCCCAGAGTCTGGAGGAAAAGAAGAGAGGCACTTCATCCACGTTGCTTGAAGTCCAGTGTAAAGTTTCCACAGTCAGTGATGGTTTGGGGTGCCATGTCATCTGCTGGTGTTGGTCCATTGTGTTTTCTGAGGTCCAGGGTCAACGCAGCCACATACCAGGAAGTTTTAGAGCACTTCATGCTTCCTGCAACTGACCAACTTTTTGGAGATGCAGATTTCATTTTCCAACAGGACTTGGCACCTGCACACAGTGCCAAAGCTACCAGTACCTGGTTGAAGGACCATGGTATCCCTGTTCTTAATTGGCCAGCAAACTCTCCTGACCTTAACCCCATAGAAAATCTATGGGGTATTGTGAAGAAGAAGATGCAATACACCAGACCCAACAATTCAGAAGAGCTAAAAGCCACTATTAGAGCAACCTGGGCTATCATAACACCTGAGCAGTGCCACAGACTGATCGACTCCATGCCACGCCGCATTGCTGCAGTAATACAGGCCAAAGGAGGCCCAACTAAATACTGAGTACTGTACATGCTCATACTTTTCATGTTCCTACTTTTCAGTTGGCCAACATTTCTATAAATCCTTTGTTTTTATTGGTCTTCAGTAATATTCTAATTTTCTGATATGATGAATTTGAGATTTTCATTTGTTGTCATTTGTAATCATCAAAATTAAACAAAATAAACATCTGAAATATATGAGTTTGTATGTAATGTATGAATATAATATACAAGTTTCACTTTTTAAATGGAATTACTGAAATCAATCTACTTTTTCATGATATTCTAATTTTATGACCAGCACCTGTATGCTTTGGAAGTCAGTAAAACAAACTAAGTTACCATAAAAGCATTTAAAAAGATTAGAATGACAAGTCCCAGTGTGCAGGCTTAGTCTCCGACTGTAACCCCATGTAGGAGGTCTGACACCCCCACGCTGAGGCTAAGGGTTCAAATACAGTTCACCAAAAACACCACAGACACAAAGGTATGAGCAGGAAAAAAGGTCAGTTTAAATAACATTGAATTATTTTTTACAATAAAAATGAAGAATGAGAATTTAAGGAGAATAAATCAATCTTAAAATGAAAAAAAACAAGCAGTCCTTTATGAGACTGAATTGCAGACCAACATGTTATGTTTCAGCCTTTCCTCTGTGAGAATAGCTTTTCAAATTGCCTTTTCAGATGTCCTTCCTGAGCTAAAGGTGCAGCCAAAACAAACTCCCAATATCAGTGTGTAATGGTTTGAGTAGTTAAAGAAAATGTCCAACTGCCTGTCAAAACATACAAATGTATTCTATATAGATATCATAGCAAAAGAATTAACATTGTTAGAAATTCATGAAGCTTAGAGCCTCATTTTTAACCTGTGGAGGGATTAGATGTTTGAAACTCTGGAAGAGCAACCTGACCCAGTCATGGAGTCTAATTACATCTAAATTTATAGTTGCTGGCAGCTTTCAGCCATAAAAGCATTGTGAAAAAGTAATATTAATTTACTTTTATCTTCTCGAAGGTTTAACATGAAATATCATTCCCCCTATCCCAAGCCCTCTTCTGATTGGTCATCTCATGTTTGATAGACTATGATAACAGATTTAAATACATTTATTAAAACTCTACTTTAGCCTAATTATGATACAACAATCAATGATTTAATGGCAAAAATAAAATCAAACTAACAAAAAAACTACTGAATCTTATGGATTAAAATGGATCAGAAAAGGTGAAAAATCCACAAAACGTAAAACAGAAAGGCAGTGCTACTTGTTTTTGGCTGTCATTACTGCACAGTGCCTCACCTTGGCTGCACTAAGAAAGTGTTGAATTCCTGGACTCTCCCAGGTCGGTTCCTTTAAAAGCGCCCAAGCAGTGGGGCCAGAGCCTAACTACTCCAAACAAAATAAACTGAGTCCACTTACCCCACCACACTGATCCAGGCCAAAAAGAACATAAGTTCAAACGCTGGGGCAACATTTGCACGACTGATATTAAAATAAAAGAAATTCTTAACATTTACATAACTCTTTATGCAGAGAAGCTAATATTTGTGTTGGAGGTAAAGTAACAGGCGATATATTGCAACATGTTGAAGACATGGCCTATGAAAGCTGGAGGGAATTTTAGAAATACATTTTGTGTTATAAGAGTACCTGTGAAGAAATGAAAAGGCCGGACTGGGATGCAGCAGGGACAGCCTCGGGTTGTCCTTCCAGCCATGTGATCTTCAACGGGTTAACACTCAGGCCACTTTCATTTTTAACCGCCAGCTCCTAAAACAGGAGATATAGAAACTTGTTCTAAAAGTTATGTATAAAAGTTCACAGTTACAACTTTCTTATCAAAGCTATAATTTATTTCTTTTTTAATAATGCATCCACATAATGTCTTGAGTGGAGACGAATAAAATACTTTAAAAATGTTGTCATGCCTAAAATATGTAAACATTTACTTCTGGTTATGATGCTAACTTCAGCACAATAGGATTCTTCACCAATCAGTGAACAACAGCTGCTTTTCTTCTGAACCACCAAGTTAAATGTCTGCTAATGCTAACCTTTGGTTATCATTAATGCAATTTTTTCCCCAGCTTTTATTGTCATTACACTTTCACAAGCACAAAGCAATGAAATGAACTCTCTGCATTTAACCCATCCCCTTTGGGAGCAGTGGGCTGCCATCATGGTGCGCCAGGGGAGCAGTGTGGGGTTAAGGGTCTTTGCTCACGGACCCAGAGTGGCATCTCTGGGAGTGGGGCTTGAACTCAGCAAGTCTGGATTCCAACAGCAATGCCCTAACCACTAGGCCGCCACTCCCCTTGAATCCCTTTTAATGCTCAACTCATCAGGTCCTATATAGAAATGTATGCCGTCAAATTTATTTCAAAATGCCAACGAGAAAAAAAACATACTCGCATATATGTTAAACTACTTCTGCAGATGGTTTATCTACCACTGCACAACAGAAATCACACAAGCGTGACAAACTGCTGCTTAGAGAGGAGAAAATTGTTCTCTGGGCTCACCAGCTCCCCCCACGAGATCCCTCGGGATCTCACCGCCCATGATTTTCTATCCAGCAGCCACGCACCAGGACGGCTGGACTCTCAAAAGCATCTCGACCATCAGACTAATTTTCTCCTTTGTATGAAGGAAAATGTGTTTTGACAGGTTGGGCGAAGAGATACCTCTTCTGTAAGCATCCTCCTGATTGGGCCTTTAAGACACGACCACACAGGAAATAGTGCCAGAAAGCCTTTGAATGACAGCTCGTAATCTATAAGTGAAGACAACGGCTGGAGACAGGACAGTGGTTTCTCCAACGTTTGCGGTACGTGGGAGTTTGTTCTTGCACCCAAAAAAGCACAATTATTCCTCATGGAGCAGTGTCATCTTTGAATAAACAGCCGTAGAATGACGTACGATGACACTACTTCCCGTGTGATCATGTCTGCGATTCCGAAGAAGACATTTTCTCCTCTCAAAACGGCAGTTTCTCGCCCATGTAAGATTTTTTTTGTGCTGCGGTAGATAAACCATGCACAGAAGTAGTTTAACATACATGCAAGTATGTTTATTTTTCTCAAGGGCGTTTTGAAATAAATGTGACGCCAAAGAACTGGACCATGACCAAATGTTGTTGCGGACAAATAGCTTCTTAAACAAGCCTCTCCTTGGCACTCCTCATAAATGGTCTCATGCTATGACCAAATCGCAAATGGATTTTTATAGGATTGATAAGGCAAGACAGTAAGAACTGCATAACTCCAAAGAAGAAGATATATTTTTTAAAAGAAACAGATAAATGGCTGACATTAGGAAAGCATCAGTAATGTCAGGGGTAAATCTGGGAAAAAAACTTTAATGTAAGGCTAGGATAGAAATCAATGCCCCATCCTTTAAAAATATTGAGGGGCACTGCTCATTCCATCCCTCTAAAAAAGGAAAGAGCATGGAACAAACGGAAAACCACCAGGATATGGCTGCCCTTCTATAGGTAATAAGCAATAATCTGCTGCCCTGACATCTATGATTCCTATAGGGGAAACAGCCAATAGATGAAAGAATGTGCTATAGTCTTGGGTGTGAGGGGAAAAAAATAATTCAGTCTCCCCCGCGATAATCTGTCGGTGGCAGCATCATGCTGTCAGGATGTTTTTTCCTCAAGGCAGTATTAATGAGGGGCTAGGTTGAGCTAAGTATGGGAAAGCTTGGATAAAAACTGGGGAAAAACAACTTGAGACGGAACTGGTGGTTCCCTTTCCAACTAGAAAACGACCCTAAACATACAGCAAGTGAATCAGTTGAATAAGTGAATAAATGTGCTATAATTATAAAAGTGGTAACCTAATCACTAATATCACTAAATTTCAGTAGTTGTGATAGAGGGATGCTGAACAAAGTTTTACATTTTCTGCTTAGCATAAAATTTCTACAAGCATGCACCTTTTTTCGGTCTACTTCAGAGTTATGCACCTCTTTCTGTTTGCACAACCTCTTTTTGAAACATATAGCACTATGTGCTTATATGAAAGGTTCAAGGGTAATGAATATGTTTGTTTCTACAGCCAAGGAAGTGCCAGAATCATTGCCTGAATCCAATATGCTGACAGAAGTGGCGTGTTCAGAGGAAACCACAAACAAAAGAACACCAACGTGAAAAAGAGCCTAAGGAGCCAGACGATGGTGAACAATGACTCAAGCTCTTTGGGTCGATGGTTCCAATCAGCACAACCATTTCTAAAGCACGGGATTATTTTAGGTCAAAGTCTACTTCTTGAGGTTTGGACGTCTGACAGATGTTATTCCTAGAAATAATCAAACTCAAAATGTGCTCCAAGACATTGTGGCAAGTGATGAACTTGGTTCAGAAAGTCTCCTCAAGAGATTCTAACCAGAAGACTAAACGTGCAAGCCTGGGGTACTTACAGCTGCTTTCACAGATGCAAACTCCACAACAGCACTTCCTTTCTTCTTACTCGATACGATCACATTTAAAACATCCCCGTACTAAATGACACAGCAGGAGGATAAAAGCATTCAGTGGAAGGGAAGGAAAGATGCAGAACATCTGAATTAGTATTTCCTTTCACAGTATAATCCATAACCGTGAAAACAAAAACACATGCAAACTCAAAATTTGAAACACTGCAGAATATCACACATCTGAAAATACAAGTTAGCAAACAATTAAAATCCGGCTCAAAGAAATCATGTTAGCCTGTGTGTTTGAGTCGCATACTGTCAATATGAGAAGTTTACAGACCTCTGCTAAAATCCCAGAGTTGTTAGACGGCGACAAAAAAAAAAAAGTATTTTGTGAACCTTTGAACTTTGAACCTTTTTGAACTTTGAGTCGAGTTAAAAGAAATTAAGTTAGACTTAGACAAATTTTATTGTCATTTTATACACATACATACAAAACAAAATGTCGTTCAGTACAGCTCTCATGACATCCATTTCTCAAGTGCAGTAGGGATCAAATGTAAACATAAGACTCGTATATGATTTACAGTTTTTCCAACATTCAGCACTTCTTTTTTTTCCATTTTATTCAGCATTCAGCAGTCTAATGACAGTGGGGAAGAAGCTGCTTTGGAAGCTGCTGGACCTGAATCGGATGCTGCGAAGCCTCTTCCCAGAAGGCAGAAGGGAGAACAGTCCGTGATGGGGGTGTGAAGGGTCACTGATGAGGTTACGGGCTTGGGACACGCAGCGCTGGGATGAAATGACTTTTATGGAGGAAAGAGGAGCCCCAATGATCTTCTCTGCAGTTCTCACTACTCTCCTCGCCCTCTTCCAGTCTGAGGCACTGCAGCCTCCACACAGTGAGACAGCTGGTCAGAACGCTCTCTTTGGTGCTTCTGTAGAAGGTGGTGAGGATTGGTGGCAACAGGTGGGCTCTCCTCATCCTACGCTGGAAGTAAATGCCCTTTTGACCGGTGAGGTGGTGTTTACAGTCCAGGTGAGGTTGTCTGTGAAGAGCACCCCAGGAATTTGGTGCTGTTGACCACCTCTATAGCTGAGCAGTAAATGAGCAGTGAAGCGTGGTTAGACCGATTCTTCCTGGAGTCAACGATGATCTCCTTTGTTTTCTCCACAGTCAGGATCAGGCTGTTATCTGTTCACCAGCCCACCAGCTATTCCACATCCTCTCTGTTGCCCTGGTCGTTGTCGTCTCTGATGAGGCCCACCACCGTGGTGTTGTCTGCAAACTTCACGTTGTGATTGGTGGTGAACCTGGGAACTCAGTCATGTGTCATCAGGGCGAACAGCAGGGGACCAGCTCTTTAACCAGCCTTTCAAAGCACTTTATCATGATGGGAGTCAGTGCAACAGGCCTGTAGTCATTGAGTGAGGTAACCTGAGGCCTTTTTGGGCCCGGAATGATGGTGGCAGACTTGCTGGTGGGGAAATATACAGCAGGAATGCTGACCACACTAAACTCTCTGGGCAAATAGAAAGGTCTGCGGTTAACAGTCAGAAACTTGATGTCTGGAGAGCAGAAGCTAGCGACCGATCTAGCATTTTTACACCAGCTTTTGTTGATGTACACACAAACTGGGTTCTTTGTTCCTATCAACGGAATTTGAGCATCAAGACCTGGTGTATGGACATAGCCATAGTGTTCTGAGACACAGAGATTTCTTAGTGTTGAGAATATTTGGTATATTTTTAACTGACTGATACTTTCTGAGACAATGAGATTTATCTGAATCTTTGGAAGCTCTGGGTTGGTTTAGCTTTAAGATGCAACAAAAAAAGAAAATGGTTTGAAAAGCCAATTAGAACAACAATGTTATCTAAAGCCCTTTAAAAGTGTGCACTTACTGCAATACAACATGAACTTTAATACCATGGTTACTTTCTAAACAAAAACAAATCCCCAATCATTACAGAACTTGCACACTACCGTAACCACATTTTTTTTATTTCACCACATAAAGTAATTCGTTCTTTCAACTGTTCTAAACAAGCAGGTCACATAAGAGGCTAGAAAATATGTGAAATTATTTACTAGCCTGTTATAGGCTTATTGTGTAGACTTTTTTATGCAATGTGAGATCAAAGCTAAATGTAAAGTAGTAGTGGTAAAGTTGTAGTTTAAATATAATGTAACCAGAAAATGCACCAAGTTACCCATCTTAATGGAAAATTCTGGAAAAAATAGGGAATAATTGGCCATATTTTGTCTGCAGAGAGATGGATAAGGGCAATGAAGGTGGCTTATGACATGACTGGTCTTTAAGCCTGTATTAGAGCTTAGAGAAAAATATGTAGTCTAGCTCCATTAGCTCTACTTTTAGCATTAACCTTTTTCCTGTTTTAGCCTTTCATGGAAGCAGAAAGAAGGAAAATTCTGGGAAAATGAAAGTCTAGGAATGCTAATGTCCACCAAGGACACTCTTAATCCAGCCAACAGTGACAAAGGAGACTCTCAAAAGGCTTCTATTTCATAAAACATAAATATCTTAACAGATTTTTTTTGCTCCCTTAAACAAAGATTTATTTTTCCATGCAGCCAAAGTACACAAGACCAATCACGTACGCATACATGCGCTGCATAAGCATCCCCATTTTCCCAGAGAGCAGTGGCTATTTCTGCTTATCCAAACCATTAACTGTCACTCAATGATGGTTGCCATCAAAAACATTACAGTCCCTTTGCCTAAAATTTGAAACAGGAACAACACTTAATATCTTTACTCCCTGCTCAGATCACACTGCATATGTGCGTGAAGAAAACAAATTCAGCTGCTCTGCTCTAGGCAAGTTGACGTCACTGACACTTGCCCCATCCCAATTTGAGGCCAACCTGCACCCCACCAAAAGCCCTCATGACAGATCGGGGGAGAAGATGGCGGTGGGTTGCATGAGAACAGCACATTTCCTAAAGCCTCCCTTGGTACTGTTTAATCACCTGGTAAGAGGGGGACAAACAATGCCGTGCATGGCTTTAAAAGGGCACCACAACATAGCCCTAAGCACTTTCACTCCTACAAAACTTAATGGGCCTTGATAAGTGGAAGTGTAAACAATCTACAGTCCTGATGTCATGCAGGCCTCAAATAAGGGTGGACTTTAGAGTGCAGGTTTGTTCAAATGAAGCTCTGCCCTACGAGCGTGAAAACAAAGATTTAAACTAATAGCTACTCTTATAACAGCTCAGCACGAGTTCCAATCTTTTAATTGATTTCCAGGACACCCACCTTATGAAATAGTTTAAGTAGAACTTCTTGAGAATAACCTCCATTCATCTCGTCGTCCTTCTTGCATTTCCATTTTAACTAGAGGAGAAAAAAAAGAAGGCCAACATTAGTCATGATCACTTTCAAGAACTAAAGAAGTGCACGATAATGGATAATCCTTAAAGCTGGATTGATTAAACTCAGCTGCAGAGGAGGTGAACCGTGCCAGACAGGTTTGGCTCTGATAACTAAAACAGAGAGCTGAAAACTATCAAGACAGGCTGAAGCTACGGGAGGAAGAACTCTTTATGCTCTTGGAACATCAGCATTGAACCACCTGCAAGACCTGCAATCAATTTCCATTCATAATAGTTGGAGCTGCACGAATGGGGAGAAACCCCTCAGATGGGTGAGCACCAGACTAGTTCATAAATCACCTGCTAAACTAAAGCGCTGAGTCCTTACAGGCTGATGCCCAAGATTAATAACAGGTCTCTTTACAAATCAAAAAATGTATTATTTGAATTTACTGGTACAGATAATCAGGTTTATTCTACCCATCCCCTTTACTCTCATACCCATAAATTAAATCTCCCATTGGATATAAAGTAATCAGTCTAACTCTAAATAATGCAATCTGTTCAAATCTACTAATAATTTAGGTGTCAGCAAAGTGCCCATAGTCAGTGTTGGGAACGTAAAATATTAACTAGTTATAGTTACTAGTTAATTCTCCCCAAAAGTATAATATTTACTAAAAAGTATAATGGTGGCTTTTCTTAAAAAGTAACTTAGCTAGTAGCTCAGTTAAATAAAAGTAACTAGTTACCAGTTAAAGTATCTCAGCATTTACTTTTCAAATAAAAAATGTCAATAAATTTTAATGACTTATCCTCTATATAAAGGTTCAATAGAACTTAAGAAAAAAAATAAAATAAAATATATGTGTATATATAGGAAAACTGCTGATGGGCTGCGATCAGAAATGTTTTATTCGAGTTAATTACAGGGTCTGTAGTTAATTAATCTAATTTTAATTGAAAACCATATCGACCAACGTTTCAATTCAGAAAAGCCTTTTTGATCCTCAACTATTGAATAAATTATCTGAGCAACACAATTATTGTATTTAATTGACAACTTTAGGCTATTAAACCATCAGATAGGTTGAAAGTTATATTCATTTAGCTTTATTTGGAAAACCATTGATATTTTACGTGACTTTTTTGAAAAAATACTATTATAGAAGTTTGAACTGTCCATGAACATTAATCATAGCATAATTATTTCTAATTAATATGGAAAAACTATATATATATATTTTGCAACAAGACATAGAATATTGCCAGTTAGTTGCATACATAAGATAAAGCTTAATTTCTAAACTTAATTTCTAATACTGAAATAACTAGGACGGTTCAGCTCTAGGTAAAGGATTACTTTACAATTGCTGTTGAATGTGCAGCATTTATTGCAAATTAAACATTTGCCACTGAGGCTACTGTTTATAGTCAAACCGGTTACTAACAAAGAGTTACCTCTCCCAAAAAGTAACTGTGATACTAACTGAGTTACTCCACAATAAAAGTAACTAGTTACTAGTAAAAGTAACTATTGCGTTATTTTTTGCGTTTCTCGCCCCCTTAACCATCACCACCCAGCCCCCACCTTCTCGTGTGTTTCAAAGCCAGCTGAATAGAGTGGACGACAAAGACAAGAACCTGCAGAGAGTTTTGCATTTATTGCAACTCAACGTAAACGACATGGGGGGGGGGGACGCTATCTGACGGGCCTATAAACCCCGTCAGATAGTGTTCCCCTTTTCTTAACATGGGGGGAACGGTATCTGCTGCGGTGAGTGTCATCCATCCATCCATCCATCATCCATCCATCCAGATTTCTCTCTTTCTCTATATAGGCTAACATTTAAACATTCATGCTCTCCGTAGTTTCCCCGTGGCGCGAGCACAGGGCGGGTTTACGCGTCTTTAGCGAGCATGCGCGGTGAATCGTGCCGCCTGCACTGTGCGGAGATGCAGGGGAAACGCAGATCGACGTAACACCAGTATTTCCATCTGGAAAACGCTGTTTTGCTGCTGGAGTCCTCCTCACTCTCCATCTCTCTGTGTGTGCTGTACGTTAACACCGCCAGCGGAAACACCCACCTACTCAACTGACAGACGGAATCTCACTATACATCAGCCAATCTCATCCTCCCCTCTCTCATGACAAGGCGCGCACGAGTCCTATCATGAAAAAAGGTTAATTGTGCGACCTGAGTAACGTGCAGTAACGGGGTGTCAGCAATGGTAACTGCGTTATAGTTACAGTCAAAGTAATTAGTTAGATTACTTGTTACCAAAAAAGGTAACGGCGTTAGTAACGCCATTACTTTCAACGCCGTTACTCCCATCGCTGTCTGACAGTACTATTGGATAGCACTTATTATTGTGACCGAGGAGTTACTTTGGCTGTAGTTTATACCGATTTGAGGTATTCAGATTGATTTTGTTCTAAAAAAATTTCTAGAAACACAAAAAAACATATGCTTTTGAAGCTATTTAAGAACAGTGAAGTACGCTTTGGGATAAAGTTAAACAGGATTCACTGTTCCATAAAAAAAATAAAAAAATAAAAATAAAAGATGAAGGTGGCAGTGTCACTAACGCTAGAGGAAAAAATAATTAAGTTTATTTTGCAAAAAGGAGGGAATATCTTTCATATAGGTATGTACATCGAAGACAGAATTGTGAGTCACGTACTGAACGATAACTCCACCAGAACAGTGGACAAATTATTCATTATGTAACCCCATACAGATTGATTCCCAATGTGCGATGGTCATGTGTGCCTTTTCACATGCAAGGTATTTCTTGCTGTTTTCTACTGATATATAATCCTCTAGAAAATTCAGCTTGGAGTAAAGACAGCCACAGACTGCAAAATAATCTATTAGGATTATTTTTCCTTTTAAATGTTTTTATTTAAGGCCCTGTCACTAAAGGCTGATCCGAGTTCCTGTACCCCTAAAAAAGTGATATTGTGCAATGTCTCATATTCAGAGACAAATCACAGCAGAAACCTGCCAGTAGTTTATGGCAACTGTTGAGAACTGCATAATGAATGGCAAGCACAGGGGGGTTGATTCGGCTCCAGCATTCTGCTCACTGTCAGAAAAGCACGTTTTCTGGGAAATCTCAAGTCCAAGGAGCATTTTTACAATAATTATTGCTGAAAATGTACATTCTCTTCTCCAGCAGCAGTTTCCCTCTACCCTCTGATAACAGCCTTAACCATCAATCTTTAAATTCGATGCTCAAGTATTTGTATGTGTGATGTTTACAGCCCACAACCCTGCTGTTTTTGATCACAGCCTAAACAAATTTACAAATCGAGGATATTAGTGGAAAAGACCCAAATGACAAGTGACAGGGATTCGTTTCCAGGTCTGGTGAATGTCAAACAAATACCAGAATTTTAAAGCCAATCATGATTAAAGTAAATCCTTTTACTGAGCATATTCCATATTTTGATATAGGTAATTATAGCTTTAGTAAAACCTTGAGACATTTTGAACAGAAATACTTTACGTAAAGACTAAAAAAAAGTCAGACAGTCTTTTTGCTTTTAGCTTTTAGTCATAGACCAAAATCAAGAAGAAATAAAAGGAAACAGGATTTACAAAATTGATGTATCATTAACAAAAACAACATTTGGGGTGCATTTCTATTAGTTGTCTAGTTTTTCAAATACTTTTTTGCTGCATTTAACAAATAGTGTCATTAAAATTCATCACAGGCAAAAGGAGTCTGAATTCATACTAGTTAAATAATGAACTCAGATTTAAATGACTAATAGTTTTCTTTGCTTTGCAAAGGTTGTCAGGGTTCAACTTTTTATTTTCTGATCTGATATCGATATCGCTGCCTTAAAGTAGTGACCAACATCAACATTTAGCACAAATTACACACACTTTTATTACTCATTGATATAAACATTAGACAGAAGGTTTTATATGCAGGCAGATGTATTCTGATACTCATTTATAGGCGGGTATCGAATTAATATCAATATCTGTCCCAATATCCCTAGATATGTATCTTGAGCACAGGGACATTATAGAATAGAATAGAATAGAATAGAATAGAATAGAATAGAATAGAATAGAATAAAAAATCCCAGCAGCAAAAAGATTATAGAAAAAAAATGTCACAAAAATGTGACCAAAATAGTCACAAAATACACAAGTGTATAAAAATAGAGAAGAGAAAAAAATAAACAAAATAACTGTACTGTAAAGTGTTTTAACAATATAAATGCTGTGCACCTGGAGAATAAATTACCAATATACAGCTGTGGACATTTTTACAGTAATGAATATTTGAAAATAGCAGCAACATCAGAGATGTGCAAAATGACAGCAGCATGATATTTAACTGACTGAGAAAGAAAATGTGCAAAAATCAGCATGAATGTAAAAACTTATTTAGGTTGTTGGGGACACTGATGGTTATAAAATCTTACAGCTGCTAAGAGGAAGGATCTTTGATAACTCTCCCTGGTGAGTTCCCCCAGAGGGAGAAAGTAAAAGTGCACTGTCGTAAATATGCACAGCTGTGCTCCTGGTTTCTCCGTCAAGCCAGGCGCGGTTGTTTTGAGCTTAGCAGACAGGCGAACGCAACGAATGACTAATGCTGCGTTCACACCGCAGCTGGCGCGACAGAAGCAGCGAGTTTACATGCAACGTAACGTCAAGGCGCAGAAAGGCGTGTTTTTAGATGAAAAACACCTACCAGCTGCCGTGGTGAACCGCGAGGAGGCGACCAGGCCAGAGGCTGCTGATGAAGGGATCCCTACTGTCGGCGCACCGCTGGTATGTGGGGGTCTGAGCGGCTCCGACAGAAAAAATATTGAAGGCAGGATAATAATCTGAATGAACTGACTGCACTGATTACGTTTTCAGGTGTATTTTCTCACTTAAACACATATTAAAACTACTTTATTCCCACTGATCACAGCAAATATAGCTGCAAGGCAGAGAAAGGATAGTGAAGCTCCGCCCAACGCGCGTCAGACACACTTTTGCACCGCGCAGCCAGAGCAGCAAAGCTGCTTCAGCCGCGCGTCAGAACTAACTGGTACAAGCAGCAAAAATGAAGCAGCAGACGCGATTTTGCTGCGTCCGATGTGAACGTAGCATAACTGCACAAAGATCGCCACTGTGCTAGCAACGAGAATGCTTTTAACTGGGGCGTCTAGCAGTTCTCGCCGTAAAGCAAGACTGACTCTCACGAGACTTCTGAGCCTGTGGGTGCGGGTCGGTGCTCCTGCAATTGCAAGTGCAGTATTTCCCCCACAGACCACCAGGGCGGCCGACAATACCTTTGTTCAACCTGAAATGAATCATTTAATCATCCATAACGTTATGGAACACATTAATTAACTGAAAAATGTTGCATAGTGTGCCTTTAACTGAGAAATAAGGTTTTACTGTAAAATGAAATCACGCAATGCTCATACATGCAGCGTTGCTATGTCTGTAAATCTAGCTGGTGATTCTGCAAGTATTGTGCTAAGCTAATAAACAGCAGTCAAGGAACACTGCTGCTGCTGCTTTAGATGGCTTTCAATTACTAGAATCAGCTTTAGTGTGTAAACATATTAGCTAATGTCGCCTGGATCCGTTAATTCACACAGAGCGGGGCCTTTTCCAGGAGGAAATATAATAAGCCTTCTTTTGGCATAAATGTTAGTCCCCTGACAGCACTATTCTTAATCTGGAGGAAGTCATGTGAGAACAACATATGTGTTCAGTGATGAGACAGCATTTGTGGTCTCTGATTAATAAATCACAAATGGCAAAGGTTTGTTTTAAACTTACAATAAGACCACCATTCTGCCTTCCAAAAACAGCCTGTAGCTTACCTTTAGTTTGGGAGTTACGTTGCTCTGGGAATATCTTACCCCTCCTGAGTGTGAGAAAAAGCATTAGAGAAGGTTGAGGCCATGAAGTAACAAAGACAAAAGAACAACTGTTTAATTGAAATATGGTACTCAAGAGAGTCATCAAGAGACTTGTGCAGAAAGACAGCAACTTGGAAATGGCTCCCTTGTGGTAGATTTTTGGGCTATTGGAGACGGGGCTGTGATCAGGGGAGGGCTGAGTGCGTGCAAACGGACAGGACTCAAAATATGGAGAGACTATGAACCAGTAATTGCACACCCACAAAAGAGGGTCAGGTTTATATCTCCAGAACACTGCAGACTTTTTAACAGCAAAGAAAAATGTTACCAAGAAAGGAGGCCTGATGGACGTTTCTGTGTGCGTGTTTGGCACTTTGCATTCCTATGATGCATTGCCAAGTTGTTCCACTGCCAAATAAACTCAAATAGACCTCTTCTCGTAGAAGTTCAACTATTGTTATTATTCGTTGCTTGAATAATATTTGGTGAACCACAGTCAGAATGGTGGCTGCTGCGGTTAGAGAAACCGTACGATTGATAGGAAACCGAAAGAAAAGAAAGAAAAAAAAATCACCTAAGTGATGTTTTTGCCTAAAAAAGGACATGGTTGTTCAGAGGGAAATGTTAACAGCAGGACATTTGAAAATTGAAAATGTCCTGATAATTTTGACAAATACAGACAGGTGATGGATAAATCTAGGAAGTAATGGCACCTCTGTGAGTGTGGTCTCCGGGTTGTAGCTGTGCTTCCCTTTCTCTCTGGATCTGCTCCCTGATGAGCCTCTGCTCCTCTTCAAGCTGTCTGGATCCCTCCTCCCTTAAGCGGGTGATCTTTACGATTCAGACACAAACAATACAACATTAATCAGAAAGCTGCATGCATATTTCATAGAAAGAATATGTTTCATTAAACACCTTTCCCACTCAAAAGCTGAGCTGCTTTTCTGTCCTGGTCTTTGTTTTTATAAACTTCTAAACCACTCGATTTTACAGTTTAAGACAATAATGTCCTAATGAAGAACAAATTGCTTACATTCCCAGTCCAAGAAATATTGCCCCATATTTTGTCACATTAAATGCATTAATCAAATGCCACTTCTCATCATTAAAGCAAACACAGTGCTCTCATTTATCGCTTTCTGTCTGAACACAGCCGTGCAAAATGCTCTAAATGTCTGAGTGATAAATATAAATGAAGATTACAAAAAAGGTTTTCTGAAATTAAGCCTCTGATCTTTACCCAAGTGGTTGGATGAGTTTATCAGGAACTCAATCAAGTATTTGACAACAATAAAAAAAAAATTAATGAAGCACCTGTTTGTGCTTCAGATTTTCCTGGATATGTTTAAATATGTAGTTTCCAGTAAGCATTTGTGCTCAGCCCCACTTTTATTCTTGTCCATCTTCTACCTAGCATTAACTCACAGCATCGCTCTAGAAGCTTGCAAAAGTATTTATATTTGTATAGATCTAAACGGTATGCATGACACTTGAATTAGTCTTTACAGAGCAAATACTTTATTGTTGAGAGTTAATGCTTCTTATGGTGGATGGGATTCTTCTAACCAACAGCTTTTCCTCCAGGAGTCTCATGTATTTACAGTGTCTCCATTCATCTTCCTATCAACTCTTAACAGCTTCTCTCTTTCTACTGAAAACATTCCCACCACATCATACTGCCATTACCGTGTAATTCTGAGGGGACAGGTTCTAGGCTGATATGCAGTACATTTTTTTGTTTGTTTGTTCTTGCTACTCTTTAATAAAGCTCAGATTTCTGAAGCACACAATAGTTATCCTGTCAACAGGTTCTAACTCCTGAGCCAAAGACAACTGCTGTACCTTTAGAGTTTTCGGTGGGATATTGGAGGCTGGCATGATTAACATTTTCTATTTTATTTTATCAGTTAATAATTTAGTTTAAATTATTACGAAGAACGCGAGAAGAGTGGTGAGAACAGTAGAGAGGATCATTGGGGCTCCTCTTCCCTCCATTAAATACATTTCCTCCCAGGGCTGCATGTCCTGAGCCCATAACATCATCAGCAACCCTCACACCCCCACCATGGACTGTTCTCCCTGCTGTCCTCTGGGAAGACGCTTTGCAGCATTCGATGCAGGGACAGCAGGTTCTGTAACAGTTTTTCCCCACTGCCATCAGACTGTTGAAAAGTCACAAACAGAGACTCTGCATGACACTGAAAACATGGCAAATCTTACAAAACTAAGTGTTTCTACTGCATTTTGCACCATATCAATTTATTATTATTATTATTCTGCACTGCTCTGAACCTTCCATATTAATGGCTTTTGCACCATGTCTCCCCTAAACCGTTTACATTTTGATCACTGCTGCACTTTATCGATGGAATTGTTCATTCTAATGCTAAGGTGCTAATTCGCTGTTGAAAAAGCTGCATGTACTGAAATTTTGTCTTATATCAACTTTGTGTACACAACATGACAATAAAGTTTGTCCAAGTCTAAGATTTAACTCAAATCTAAGCAAGTTTTTGACTATAATGTTTATTATATTGTTTAGTCAAAGGCACTTCCTCTGTTCTTACCTCTTCCTCAAGTGTTCTTGTAATCTGAACTTCCTCTTGGCTCTGAGCTTCTGCTTGTCGTTCTCTGGCCTCCAAATCTAAAAAAAAAAAAAAAATGAGACACAAATATCCATCCTTTATATCTTAAGATCAAAGTCTCTACCCATTTTAAAAACCTCAAACTCTGTTGCATTAACACCTGAGGCAGAAATGTTACTTAAACACCTTAACGATAACAGTGAAACAGTAACTCAGTAACTTTATACTCACCAAGTTTAATTTTCTTCCTCTTATCATCTAATTTCTTGTTTCTCTCTTCTGCTTGTTTCTTGGCAGCACAGATCTTGTCATAGGCAGCCTGCAAAGAGCATTAGTCAGCAGGATGAACTGTCTGACAGTGTGGGAGTGAATCAGGGTGATTGTTATGGGTTAAAAATGCACGTTTGGTCTCACCTTGGCTGCGGCATCAGTGAGAACTTCAAGAGCCTGAGACAACTGGTGGAAGAGCTCCGCTTTAAGAAATTGAAGAAGCAAAGAAAAATATGAGATGAAAGAATACAACGAAAAACTAAAAATTATTATAAGAAAGACCTTAAATAAGATATGGAGGCAAAACAGTATCTATATTTATGCTATATGCTTAAGAAAAAAAAAAACGATCAAACCCCTTATATACAGGAAATGTATTCTTAAACAATAAAGCTTAACATAACCTGCGAGGAGATGTTCATTTTTAAAACTGGAGCAAATCTTCTAAAACCTTTTAATTAACAGTGGATTGGGGCGACTTTCTTCCATCCTTTCTGCCATCAGGAGTCCATCTTCCACTAGATCCTCCTGCACCATCCATGCAAAGCTAATCCATTCAGTACTACAGACTGATACTGCTACTCTTTATAGTACTGGCAGTCCACACAAACATGCATGTTATACTGCTGTCCGGTAACATCCATGAATATAACCGCCTCAGACCATCTGCTGGAGCTAAAGCACAGTGTTACAACATGGTTGGGTAGAAAAAAATAAAAAAGGGATTTCTTGAGAGGGTGTCTTCAGTCGGTGAAGGATGTTAACCCATAAGTCATTTCTTACATGCACACAGCTGCCCCCTTAGAGGGTGACAAGCTCCATCTCTAGCTCTGCTTTCGTGTGTCTGAGGCTTAGTCTGTCTATGTGCGGGTTCAAGTGTTGAAGCCCTCCAAACCACTTCTTTTCCATTTCTGGGAAACCGACCCCCTGCTTTTGTAATATTCCTCTCAACCACCTAACCATACCAATTTCCATTTTTTATACTGTCATGATCAGGAATTGTCTAAACCATCCAGGAACCACAGTAACCTCCTTCAAAAACGAACTTCATCACCAGCCTTGTGTGCAAGGTGCTTTTACCCCCCCTATTGACTAAAAGCTACACGGAAAGTCTTTGCTTCTATCAGGGAGCACACAGACTAAAGGTTTACTCACCCGATTATATGTGCATTTAACATTAAAGGCTCTACTCAGTAATTTGCGTGGTTCTTTATTGAGGGTTACAGTAGGCACAAATAAAAATGGAACTTTAATTCACTTAACAGGCTTAGAGTTACTGCAGGCTACACAGGCTAAAAAAATTAATACATCCCCGCTAATATAATAAATATCCAAGTTGCAGAAGTTCCAGGTATAATAAAGCACAAGGCTGAAATGGCTTTTAAACATGTTTCCATTATTTCCATATGTTATAGTCTATGATTACAGCATGAACTGATATTCTGAATTTTATGCAGTTTTCCTCTTTTAAAGCAAATATTTCTAATATGTTTTGAGGGGTTTTATAAATATGGCCTAATAACTGTAAGAAAATTGAACAGGCATCTGTTTTGGACATTCTTAGCAGTCTTTCTGACTGGCTTTTGTTTTGTTTATATTGATATTAAAATTATATTCTATGGGCTGAAATCAAGAAATATATCATGAGTACTAACACTCTTTCTGAAGTTGATTCCCTGCAAGAAGCTTTATGTTAACCTGCTGTATTTATATCTATATCAGTTTTGTTGTGAGTTTGTTTCAAATTTTCCAGGTTAAAGAATATGGAGGAATTCCTCCTTCTTCATTGTTACAGTTTGTTTGCCCGTCAGAAAAACCGAGCCTTACCATGACGCCGCTACCTCCACACTTTACCCTGCTCAGAACGTCATGGGGGAAGTTTTAATATACGACTTTACTGAGCATTTCCTCCAGCAGATATTAAGCTTTTAAAGATGTCGTTTTGCAGCGGGTTTTTCTGTCCTTTTAGTTACTCCCCCTCTTTGTTCAGCTTTAACTCACCACTGAAGGAAACAGCTACGTAGTTCACCATCTTCCAGTTTATGACACTTCAGCCATGATGGTTTATGGCAGGAAGCTTCGACTCCCATTCTTGAGGTCCTGCCACTTTTTTATGCGTCTGCTACACCACATCCGAGTATAATATTCAGGTCATTAGTAGAATTCTTTAGAACTTGGCTGCATGCTGAGGAGGTCATTCGGTCATTTTATTCAGGAGTGTTTGAGCAGCGACACATCTAAAAGGTGCAGGACGTCAGATCTCAATAGTTGCAGGCTGGTGATTTATGGGATGTTCCTAAAAACAATAATTAGCTGAAGTTGACAGTTTGGGTTGGGTGCCGTAAACCTCGACAGAAGTATGTGGTTAAGGTCAAACTTGTTAAACCTAGAGCTGGACAATTTGGACAATATCAATATCATGTATACATTTTTATAGTATATATTTCTTAATTTTGGTCAACACGATTTTATTTAGATAGTGCTATAAAACAACAATAAATGTCCTAAAATGCCCTAAAAAAGATGCCCATACAATCTAATGACAATTGCATTGCCACGTTCATAAAAACTCCTCTAATTTAAACAACTGAAAAACATAAAAATAAGAACTATAAAACAACATAAAACCAAAAACACCCGAGCTGCAAATGCTGCAATAATAGAGTGATGATGCAATAATAGAGACATAATAATATCAACACATATATTGATATAGAATTATTGAGTCTTTTTTTTTTTATCTTCCACCAAAACAATTATCAAAAACAGAAAATCAAATTAGAAATTGGAAAGGATAAGTCAGGATTATAATAAGAAATGAAGAGGAACTGAATCATCCAAGTCATTTGCAGGTTAGTCAAAAGCTGAGACTTGTGAAGAAATCAACAAATTTAAACAAACTCCACTCTCTGTGACCCGATCAGCCGTGCAGCACTCTGCCAAAACTCTGCAGAATGCTCAATGATGGCTAGAAAAAGTGTGTAGATCATTTTAAATTTGCTGAAAGACATTCATGATCATGTTAATTAATATATTCAGTTTTTATTTATAATTTGGTCCGGTACGGATTTTAGAACTGTTATTATAAATAGAAACTCATTTACCTAGTTGTTATCGTAATTTACACTTTTGAAACGGATTTAAAAAATGGTTCAAATAAATTCCTAAAAGTGCTGATGAAGATTCTCAGTCATCCAGGTCATAGTCATTCTGTAAAAGTTCAAAAAAATCCACTGGACTTGGTTTCCAAGATTTGAAGACGTTTCGCCACCTCTCCAGGAAGCTTTCTCAATTCAAATGTCTGGTTAGACAGGTTTCAGGTATTACAGGAGACAATCCCCCCCTTTAACGACCGACCTTCAGAATCATAGACAGGTTTCAGATATTACAGGCTAACAATGGAACCAAACGACCCACTCGTCGGTTTTCCATTTGCATGTTTCCAAGCAATACAAGGCCTTGTCTATATAAAGACTCAAACTCATTGCAAATCCAGACATTTAAATTGAGAAAGCTTCCTGGAGAGCTAGCGAAACGTCTTCAAATCTAGGAAACCAAGTCCAGTGGATTTTTTTGAACTTTTAAGGAAATTCCTAAAAGATTAAGATGATTATATAACATTCCTGCTGAATATCTGCTCTGTATATTATTCAATTATGAGAAAGAATGTCGACTAATTCATCGGAACAATGAAAGAAATGTGAGCCTCAGAATGCGGAAAAGGAAAAACAACGTTTTACTCACCTGCTTTAGGGTTATCTGGGTTCTTGTCTGGATGGCAGGTCAAGGCTTTCTGTCGGTATGCTTTCTTGATCTGGTTAAATAAAGAGGAGCTTTTTAAATCTTTTTCTTTGCTCTTTTAAAAGCACAATGAGAAGTAAATCAACTGTGGTTTTGATCTGCAGCAGGTTACCATTTAGTTGCATATTTCTCCTCAGGATTTAGAATTGTTCACAATGTAGAAAAATTATATAACAGGACAGAAAAGGAAACATAGTGAGAGCTGATCGCCAGTACAATTAAGACATAGGTTTAGAAATATTAAACCAACATTGACTCACTCAGGATAAACTAAAATAATTATTTAAGAAAGCAAAATGAAAAGCATCAGACTAACAAATTACGAATCCATCATAAGAAATATACACAGAAGAAAGAACAATCCAAGAGAAAGCTGCTAAAAAATAGAATCAAGTTCTTAAAATCTGAAAATAAAGGGATTTAACGGCCTCATTCCTAAATCATAATGTCTAACTTCAATCGAAGGGAGAGAGGAGAAGTCAAAAGTTAAGCCAACTTCTAGAATGAGACAGCATGGAAAAAATAAGACACTATACTTAAGGTCTGAATACAACATTTTTATTTACCGTTAATTATTGCTCATTTCCACATGTGTTAACTAACAAAGTACAAATACTTTGTTACCTTACTGAGGTAGGAATTTTGGCTATTACAGACGTAATTATTTTCAAGACAACTTTTCACTTCTACTCTTTAAATTTTTTTTTGCAATTTTCTCTATTTTCTACTCCTTACATTCTAAAAATAGACTTGTTATTTTTGTTTCCTTTAAGCTCATTTTCATTAAGGCCTATTGGTATTTAAAAAAGATAAAAACCATCAAAATAATCTGTTTCATCCAAACAATTCATTTCTTTGTGGTTGAACTCAGTCCTGCTCAAACTTTTTTTTCACCACATACAAAAATAAAACTTTTTTCAAGAGGATGTAAAGTTAAATTTGAAACTTACCATTAGTTATAAAACTAAGAAACTTAAGTATAAGGAAGACATCATCCAGAATTTTAGAAACATTTTCCTTTAATAGGGTAGTGCAGTAACCAGTATAATTTTAAAACATTTTTCTCTTCAATTACTTTTACTTTAATACTTTAGTTTTAAAAACTTTTCCCACGCACCGTTAGAAATTCAGAGAAAAAAAATAACACCTTGAGAAAAATAGCAACCTAGCAAGGTCAGGCTCCCTTATTGCTTTGACTAAACCTGCAGCCCCTGCAAGGCCGTTCAGATTGACCAGAGGTGGATGTTTAATTACAGAATCAATTTTCCCAGATTTATACAGTCCTTCTCGCGTGTAATGTCAACGTGGAATCACGTGCCAAAAAACATATACCAAGTTTCCCTCAATGAAGCTGAAGTTATCGAAAATGTAGAAATCTAAACAAAGTGCCCTGGATGACTGCTTTTAAAGTTAACCATTCACTGTTCCTTGTGGGGCCAGTTAACGACAAGGTGGTTTCCATTAGATGTCTCCTCTGTTGGTGAAAGGAAGCAGGAAAGACTTCCATGAAGACCAGAGGGGGCTGCAGAGTGCAACGCTCAGGCTTTCTGCACGCAACCTCAATAAAAAAAACAAAAAAAGACATGCTCAAATATATACCGTGCATTGCAAGCTAAAGATCTTTCCCATACATTCCTTCATACATGCGAGTGCAGCCTAAATATACAAATCCTAATCAGACGCTCCGATGTACAGCATGTTTTCACGTATTCTGACTCACCAACCCTTTCCCTTCCAACGTCTGCGTGTATTAATCTCCTGCCATTACGCTACAGGCCATGAATAAAAAGGAAGCACCTTCAATCGTGTCTGGGAAATGTTTGCATTCGTTTTGTTTTTTTTACATGTGCAGAGTTTCCCAATAGGTTGTTTAGTACTTTTTATTTTCCTTAGAGTGGAAGCCAAGCTCCAATATTGATGGAATTAGCAGATTGTGGTAAGAAAAGATTGGGTCCCGGTTTTATACACATTATGATTTCTAAGACAGCTCCTTCAAACAAGCACTAAGTTTTGTAAAAACAGGGTATTTCTTATTTTATTTCACTTCAGTAAATAATTGAGTTTGTTTTGCCAAAAGGGTTTTAATAGAATTGATATCATAAGGGAATATTAGGTCTTTCTTCTTGGCAGAGAATCATCTTAGAGATGGGATCCAGGGAATATAGCCAGATGCTTCTGCTTACTGGCTTCTGCTTCTCCATCTTTATCTGCTTCTTCTTTCCTTCATAATTCCAGTTATTCCGATAAAATCAACTTATAATCTGAGGCATATTCTCACCCTAAAATATGCACAGAATTTCAAATCACAAGCATAACCTGCTGTAGTTGTTTTTAATCACTATTAAAAGAAAATAGTCAATTTGCAAATTCTTTTTTTCTTCCAAAAATGCTTTACATCGTGTTCAAATCGACTCCTAAATTGCAGTTAAATTTTTATAAAACTGTGCTTTATTGTCATTTTGGTATAATTGCTTGATTCCTGAATTATTAGAAAGGAAAATACTTGGAATCCTTAGTTTGTTTTTATTTTCCATCACAATCTCACAGGATAAATAAGGCTTTTAATAGAAAAGGGTGTTGTAAAGCACATATTTGCACATTACATACCATAGCTATAGAATATTTACAATCAGCACAAAAAACAGTCAAGAAAAAAAACTGTTTATATTTGGTTTTACTGTGAAAAAGGTAAAACCGTCTTTTTTTGGGGTAAATGAAAAGTTTAACACAGCTCCATTGCTCAGACCTCTTTAAAAATAATCAAAATAAAGCTGCAAAAGGTGACTAAAAGCACTAAGGAACATTATTTTAGATCTTTTCTCCCAGCGGCTGTCAAACTTTGCAACCATCACAGCAACTCAAAAACTCAAAGTTCCCTGCTTTCCGTTAGCACAGTTTTTCCATTTCTTTCGTAGTTTGCTTCCATCTTTTTATGCACAAATATTAACTGCTCCTGTAAAACATTATTTCAATTCGTCCTACCCAGTTGCACCTTTCATTTGAGCTGAGTCTACTGTTATTCATAGCATTGAGTCTTATTTGTTACTTAATCTCTGCTAAAAAAAAGGAAAAAGGATTTATCTAATACTAAGAACCATTGGCCTAAAAGGCTAGAAGCCAAAAAGCTTCAGGTTTACATCCCCTAAAAGCACTATTCCAGTGTTTTTTGGAGATTATATTCAAAGGAAAAAATAAATACCTATAGTATTTAAATAAAACCCAATTCTAATTTTAGTCTTTAGTTCATATTATTTAGTGCTGCTTGTAACATCCACAGTTTTTCCCTCATATAGAGGCTGAAGTAAATGAAGAAAATCTCTCCATTTCCCACGCTGGAGTTTGTGGAAAGACAAGCCACACAATCAGGAGAAGGCAACAATCCTGCAGCAGCAGCAAGCCAACAGTAGCCTGATGGTTAGAGTCTGCACCGCACCGATTCCTTTGTACATTTTGTCCTCATTACCAGCATCTGGTGCCAAATGATTGCTGACAAACTGCTGCTGAGTGTCCTGGTCGCATCGCAGCCACAGCAGAGCTGGAGGCAGATAAGCTGCCATGGAAGCCTCCCCCTTAATTGCTATGTTCCACTATTTACAGGCCGTCATTTGCTTAAGGAAGATAACGGCACAAATAGGAAGGTGGGAGAGAAGAAAGAGTACATATGAATAAACAGGGAGGATGCGTGTAAAGGAGTTCCTGTTACAAATTCAAGTTGAAGCCGTTTTTAAACTTTTTATGAAACTGTGGCAGAAAAAAAGAGCAAAAATGACAAAAATTGATCACTTTAGTAATGCAGAAGAAGACAATGTCCTAAAGAGAAGTTAAATAATGTTTTTAAAATAGTTAAGTAAAAATTGGATCCAAGATGCAGACTTCCCCCCCCTGTGTTGCAGGATCTTTAGTAGAGCAAAGGCCTATTTCACAAAAGTTGAATTTAGAAATCAAGGTGAAGAGATACAACCAGGCCAGACAAAGGATAAGGATAAGGATATCACAAAGGCAAGGCCAGGCTTAGCAGGTGCAGCTATGTCAAGCCAGGCATAGGTAATAAAGCTAAATCCTATAGGCTACGTTCACACTGCAGGCCTTGATGCTCAATTCCGATTTTTTTGTGAAATCTGATTGTTTTGCGTTGCTGTTCACATTTCCAAATATATACCACTTGTATGTGATCTCCTGTGTGAACTGCATTTATACAACACAAGTGTCCCGCATGTGCAGTAGAGGACGCAGTGATGTCACAAGCTGGCATGCTCTGTGTTTACGGAAGTAAACATGGATGGTAGTGCTGGAGCGCATATCGCCATCTTTCCCAACCATAAAAACAATCTTTTTGAAGATGGTTAAACATTAATACAGCTCTCCGCATCATCGTCTGCCATTGTTGTTGTTTTTCTTGCCACTTCTTCATAGCAAGACACAGAATAGTGACCTTTGTCAGGTATTAATGGCGTTCAGGTCGGATGAATGCGAACTGGCGGTTCAGACACAGGTCGCAAATGAATAAATCAGATTCTTATCGGATTCAGGACCACATAGCCAAGTGGCCTGGTCGCATTTGAAAAAATTGGATCTGTGTTGTTCAGACTGCAATGAAAGATCAGATACAGGTCCAATATTGGCCAAAAAAATCGGATTTGGGTCACTTTAGGCTGCAGTGTGAACGCAGCCTTAGTCTTTGGCCCAATCCAGATTGGACCAATTGTAGCTCCTCTTCCTTTACCTTACGCACAGTCAACAGTTAGAACATTATTGAGAGTAGGAAGGGAGCCTTGGATGGCTTTGCTGAATCTGTACACCCTTAGCCCTTCCGGACGTCATTACAGGATGGTAACACACATGGACAATGCTCGTCAAGACTTTAGGAAACTATGAGTCCTATTCGGACAGAATTTATCATGGCAGCCGCTGAAATACTTCCCCTTTGGCTTCAGAGTCCTTACGGATTTGCTTTTGACTAGAATGTGGGGGACTCAGGATCAAACATTGTGAACATTTTGGCATAAAAGCTTTGTTTTGCTTTTATGCCAAAATGCCTTTTATGCCTTATTTGACCAAAAAAGGACTTGGGACTATGTTGGAATGAAATAGAAGAACATTTTGCAGACTGGCAGTATCATGTTGACCATCATAAAGACTTAAAGGTGCCCACTCATATTTGATCCTCTTACTTATTTTAGGTGTTAAAAATGGCTGATGCGCCTGGTGCAGAGGGTGGACCACCACCCCCAGAAATCACACTATGAGACAATTTAGCCCTTAACTTAAACAAAGGGAGGCCCGTTATAGGAGAAAGGATGGAAAGGTTTGGGAGTCATGGGCTTTTTCTGAATGAACAATTTGGTTCATAGCTTCTGTCTCTTTACTTTTCAAGGGGTCAGCAGTAATTGGCATACTGCATGTCCAAGGAAAAACTCAACTTTGAAACTATTATTTCAGGGAAGAATTTTTTGTGAAAAACCTCAGAAGGATTTACTGAATCAGATTAGGCATTTAAACGTTTGATGGAGAGAGAAACTTACATTTCAGTGTTTTCTATATTTTACTTAATCATTGTAGAAGTACATATAGAAAGCTATCCCTATTTATAGAGAAAAGTCAGGCAAGCTGGGCAATATGTACAGTGCCTTGTCAACATATTCACAAAAATGTTTTTAACATTTTGGTAAATTAAAAGTAGAGTTTTTGTGAGATAAAACAACAAAACAAAGTCGAATATGAGTGAAAGGGCGGAACAATACATATGAAACAAAAGTTTAAAGCAGCTTATAATGTTGGCTGATAAAAGTTCTCTGGATATTGTTATGGATTTGATCAGACTTTGCTCATGTTTATATGCATGTTACAAGACCTCTGCTTTGAACGTTAAAATAAAAGAGCTCAGTTTTTACAACTTTAGTGTGAGAAGGAAAAAAAATGACCCATCTGAGTATTTATTTTTTTCTTTTATTGCAAAAACAGCCAAAGGTTTGTGCTTTCATAGGCTGTATCTTTGTGGGGGTTTTTTTGTTTTTTTTCTTGCAAAGCAACTCTTTTTCAGACTGGATGGAAATAATCTACTAACATCAGTTCTCAAGTGTTGCTGTAGATTCTGATGTATGGATACGCTGCAATTTACCCATTCCACTGCTGAAATGTGGCATGCTGCTGTCACCAGATTTCACCATGCAGAAAATGTGCTTATAGTGACCATTTACTGCTAAAAATGAAATGCTTTGTCAGACACTGGATTTGGGAAAGAGGTCACATCCCAGCTGCAGTTGTTCAACATGAAAAACATCTGAGATGTGGATTTTTTTTATTTGCCAAGAGCTACTGGCAACATTTGCCGATATTAAAACATTTCACTGCATTTTATGGGTTCAAACACTACAGTAAGACGCTCATGTATAAAAGCTGCACAGCACCGTATGTTCCACTGGTCTAATAAGACACAAACTGCCAGAAAAAGATTAGACCTCCAACTTCCAATGATCTTAACGCGCGTGTTTACTATATATTATATTATTTCCAGTCAGAATTCCCAGTTTAAGCAATGCACTAGTTGCATCCTTCCGCTATGCATCGCATAGAGGCTGAAAAGATTAGGATTCTAATAAAAACTCACTGATGTTTAGGGCTGGGACCTGACAACATGTGGAAAGGTTCGGTGTCATTAATGGTAACAAGCTTCTAATAATGTACTACTGTACAATTATATAGTCTGCCTGAGAGTAAATTATGAGCATGTTGTTAATTCTGTTTTTTTTTCTTGCTGCTGCAATGCATTAAGTAAAAGGTTTATTAAAATTATAGTAGCTGAATGAACCACAGTGTTTGTGTGGTCCCGGATGTTGACATGGCTTTACCATGCAATCTGCGGTAGGTACGACTCTGGTGGTTATCCCTCATCACTGCCCTAAACACCAAGCCCAGTTATTTACAATCATTAAATCATGAGATTTCATAGGTTTCATAAGGATTTCTCAAATATCAGACATCATCAGAAGTTCAGCTACTGTTATATAAGACATGCGTTATAAGATATATGGTTTGGCAGACCTAAAGCTCAGTGTTCAAACTCCTGCGTCAAAGCAATACTTTACAATCTGTAACACACGGCTTTTACGTAATGCCTCTTTATGTGACAACCCATAAAAACAGATTCTTGGATGAGCTTCTTCCATGTCTGATTAACAGCCTGCCTGAAGGGAGATGGGGCTGCAGGTCAAACAACTTCGATAAGTGGCTGATGACGTCCAACTTCACACATTTGATTGATTTTTGTGAGCGTTCTGTGATTCTATGCAGCGCCCATGAGCCTAACCCCACTATCTCTGTTAACCATCAACAGACCGCTCAGAGCCGGCGCTCTCAATTCTGAGGCTTTAGCTCTTCCCAAGCCACAACCACCGACTTCCTCAAGGATAATCCTCCAGGAATGAAAACACTTTGAAAACCAATTAAGAAATTAACTACTTCCCTTCTTTTGGCAGCCATTTTAATCCAATCTTGTTTAGGCCGATGGATTCTACAGAGATGTGGTGGTGGGAGGGGAAAGCAGTATTAAGGATTCTGTGGTTAACTTCTGATTGAAATTAAAGTCTTAAAAAAACATGGCAGATGGGAAAACCTTAATGGCCACAAATCAAAACTTAGACTAATACTAATTTCTAAATATTTTAATCAACCTCAATCAGCAAAAATGTTATCCATCAAATATATAAATTATCTCATTTATTCTAAATAATTTTGAATATTTTAGCTTAGATGTAAGGATTATTCTAACATTCTAAATCATTAATTATATAAATCCATTGCATATACTGTTTTGTTAGGCAGAAATTGTCCGAGACGCTGTCTCCATCTAGTGGTCATTCTGGTGTATTGCAACTGTGAGATGTAGGCTGTTGTCTTTTAAAAGGACATGCCGGACTGAAAGTCTATTCCTACTTTTGCATGAGATTTATCTTACTTGTTTAGGTACCTTGTGGTTGTGCTGTTTTCAGAATAATAAATGAAATATAATAATTGTGACATAAGTGCTCTTCCTGCCTGCTTCACCAAAATAAAAGAAGGGATTTTATCGGTTTCGTTTGGAAAAATAAAAAATACATTTTTTTTTTATTTTTTTGCACTTTCAAATACTAAGTTACTGACAATAGTATCGTTGCTTTTAATGTACTGCTTTACGTACCTCTTTCGTTGTAGCTGTGCTCTCAATGCCGAGTAACCCATACAGATCCATCTGTAAGATTTCCTTCGCCTTTCCAGACATTTTTTGTCTTGATATCAGCTAATACAGCAGCGCGGGGGGGCGGGGGGGGGATGCTTATAACAGGGTTAAAGCTGCTTCTGAGGTGGTAAAAGTTCGTTAATTTAGCTTTTTATAGCTGCTGTTTAGGTTTAGGCAGCATGAGTTTGACGTTGACGACTTTTCAACCGGATGTACTTTGCATGATGGGAGATGTAGTTTATTGCAGGCAGAATCGCTTGTCTTGCTGCGTTTAATCGCGGTTGACAAACAACTTTTCGATGCAGTTTACCGCCACCTACAGGTGAGGAGTGTGGATCACAACGGCCCCATTTATAAAGATACTTCTATTTATTTATTTATATATATGTCTATTTCTATAATATTACTTTACAAATACAAAATCCTCCTAAGTATTCCTGTTATTATTAAATATTTAAAAAAATATTGTTAAAAAAAAGCTGTTTTTCAGCAGAATATCTATCAAATCAAATTTACCTTTCTCCCTATTTAGGCCTCTAACCAAATTCCTTCTTTCTGCTTCATACTTCTTAAAATAGATCACTACATTTTCCACTGTTTCGTCTTCTCCACAATATTCACATTTGCCTGACATATGTTTCCCTATTTTTTAATAGTGTATTATTTAATCCTGTATGTCCAAATCTAAGTCCTAAATAACTATTTCCTCTCTTCTGCTTCCTTCTGTTAACCTAATTTCTCAGACTTTCTGTTGAATCCTATAAAACCATCTTCTTCTCTTATCATGGCAGCCGCTGAAACACTTCCCCATTGTTTTTGCCACCTTTCCTTCATCTTTTGTTTAATTATACTTTTAATTTCTGCCTTACTTATGTTAATCATCATATCAGTGGTTTTATTTTTTTATGCTTCCTTAGCAATCTTATCTGCAATTTCATTTCCTTTAATCCCTATATGTGCTGGCACCCAAACAAATATAACACTAATACCCATCCTTTGAACTTGATATAAAACTGGCTGTATTTCAATTAAAATGTCTAATCTACTTTCCGAAAAATGATTTTGTATACTGATTAAAGCTGAACTCGAATCTGAACCCCTAATTGATATTAATGGTCTCACTTCCTCCATCCATTGCAATGCTAATTGCTATTTTTTTCAGCTAGTGAAAAAAAATTATATAGATAAGAAATTATACTCTGTACTGTGAGGGCAATTTGGAACATAAAAAACAAATATTGCACAGTTACTGAAAATGTACAAAACAATAATGCCTCTTTGGGCATTTAGGCTGCAGCAGTCTTTCACTGAAGGAGATGTTATGTTTTATTACATTTGAACTAACCTTTTCACAGTTTTATCATGACAGAATTGTTCAAGCTTTGTTTTGCCAATTTAAACAGACACACGCTGTATTAGATGTGCTTTATATCACTAACTCTCATTGATATCAGTTTGTGCACATCTGGCTAACTTGAGTTTTCTTTCCCTCAGATAAAGTTCATCCATCTTTACAGATCTCCTTCAGCATCTTAGTCTCTATCTGCAGTTTCCGATAGCCCCATATGGCATTTTATTTAACTTTTTTGTATCTTGAGACACCAGGTCTTTTTTTTTTTTTTTTTTTTTTTTTTTTTTTTTGCTTTACACCCAGGGTGAACATTGCACCATTTTACGTCATTGTTGTCACTATTCAATATTATAGTAATATTTCAAACCCCTTGGCACCTTTCACAAAACATATTGTTTTTTTTTGGTTTGTTTTGTTTTATGTGATACATCAAAGCAAAGTAGTTTATGAGAGTATGGAACATTTTATTGTTGCTGTTGTTTTTCTAAAAAGTTTTGGATGCAACCAGCTTTGCCTGCAGGTTAAGCTGCAAGCGTCATGTCGCAACCTGACTTTCCTTAATCCCTTTCCAGGAATTTTTTATTTTTTTAAATATATCACTTGTTTTTGTTTTTTTAAACAAATTACCTCCTCAGCATACAGTTAAATTCCCTAAAGAAATGCGCATTTGGACTCAAATGTGTTAAAGCAGAGACACATCAAAAATTTGAAAGACTACGGACCTTGGATTGAGGCCCCTCCTCCTAGGCGTGTTCCAAATGTAAAAGAAACCATTTACCCACCCCTCATTCTTCTGGGTTTTCGGAGTCTTTTGGGGTTAATTGTGTATTTGGCCAACTGAAACATGACTATACTACTTATGTAAACTCTTTGGTTGTCATTGCTTTGTATCTGATTTGAAATTTGCCTAGAATGGGCCTTCATGCTTTTAAAAACAATAACATCTCAAATACAGGTTTCTCTAGTGCAAACTGCTACAGTTGACTGATACCCAAAGGTGTTGAAATGTTTTCAGAAACACTAAGCAGAAACCCAGTTGCATCCAGAACTCGTTATTATGGATGCATTCTTAATGTTCTTTGGGAAGAACTCTATCCCAGATTTCAAGAAGCGAGGAGATTATGGGAGAATCTCAGGAGAATAATTCAACTACTAACTTCCAAATTTAACTGACATCTATCACAGTTATATCTATCCTCTTATGATGGTTGATAGGCTGCAAATATTAACTAGTATTTATAAAGCAATCGTATCTTTCGAAGAGGACACAACTTAATGGACATCATCAAAATGTATTGAATAAGCTGTCAGTCAACCATATTATTAGAAGCAGAAAACGAAGAGGCAAAAACATGTTCACACCCAGTTCACAATGACTGGTGAAGGAATAGAAAACTCTAAAATTCACACAAAAGAGGTTTTTTTCCTCCAAAGAACTCATGTTACCTGTAGGTCTGCAGTGCCCTATATAATATATATAATTTCACCTGACTCTAAACACACCAATAGATAAGAAGATGATAAATTAACTGCTTTATATGAAACCATTTAAAATACTACTATAGTACCGTAGTATTATAGTAGTATCAACTCGGAAAACTTGGTTATGTTTTTTTCTTGTTTTTTTTTTTTTTACAAAGTGCGGCTAAATGACAGCTTTTGTGGACACTTCCAACAACAAAGAGAAACATAACAAAGATAAAGACTTTGAAGATAAGGGATCTGTTTACATCGTATGTGTTTCACAATCCTGTTCCACAAGCTAAGTTTGCAATCTGTTCATGATGACTTCATGATGTTTCCTCAGAATATTTAAGAATTAATTTGCCAAATTTTGGAAACAGCGCTTTACTACAAAAAGCTTGTTAAAAGTCAGAAATGGGTCTTCATGTCTTACTAATAGCCCCCATGATAGAAGCTCCATTCTTTATCATGACAATGCAGCTTTTTGTTATGATGCCTTTGTTTTGTTTCTCTAAAGTAGGGCAACAGCTCAGAACATTTCTGCTTTTTTGTCACAAGACAGATTTTGATGTCTTGTGACGGCAAAATCTGTACTGCAATAATACAAAAACCTAAATTTGTTAACACAGAATTCCAACAGAAACAAAAAACCCAGGCATTGTTGTGTTATGAATTGAAGGAAGACCTTCTCACTCCTCTTGAAGCTTAGATTTAAACCTGCATCCACTTTCAAGAGTCTGATTTAGTGAATCTTATTTTGTTTTCATCCTTCTGCACATTTACTTTCATCCTGAGATCAGGTCCAGCTGAGGGGATGGTGTGTTTGTGTGGGAGGATGGACCAACAACTGCTTCTATTCAGTATAGCATGAACAGCTTCAAATTATACAATCATACACTCAAGGCTAGAGGAAACTGCTATTTTCTTTTCAAAATAAGAGCACAATTCTGCAGAGCCTCTGAAATTCGATGCAAACAGGAAACAGCTGGATTATTATATATTTATTAGCAAATTAGAACAAATAAATAGAAAATTTGGCTTTTATAACTTTTGACTTTTTGTATTTTTTGTTATTGTTTAGTATATATATTTGATGTTATCCAGGGCCCATAAGGATGGCACTATTGTAGTATAAAATTTCATAGTACAATATAACTGCAGAGCTAGGATGATACTGAAGGTATAGTTTTACCACAATGTTTATTTTCATTTATCCTTTATTAATTATTTTTTACGAACAAATTGATCAGACTATTCTAATTTTATGAACATTGGTTGATTGGGACACATTAAAACATGCAATAGAAACTTGTTTTATTATTTTCTGACCAGACTATCATTCCCCCTTCTAATATACCACACACAGTAGCTACCCATATGGCAAAATCCAAAGCATCTGACTAAAATTTAAATGCAGCTTTCAAAGCAAATCAACGCCAAGTAAGAGAAAAGGAAAGTTGGTAATTAAGTTAGGGTTACTCGTGCAAATTTTGACATAAAGGATAAATCATGTTTGAATAAGGAGGAAAAAACTGGAATTTTAATAGGAATCAATATTTCAATCTGGTGGAACCTCAATGTATTATATCATAATCAAATTATTTTAAAAAAGGACTAAAAGGACTGAAACTATTCAACTCATTTCATTGAACATTGTAGAAAGAAAAAAAAAAGGAGGGGGAAGCACCTCCAGTCATGCTTAAAATTACATTTATGTTACTTTTTTATTGATGCACATAACACCCAGGGCAGTGGTCTGCTCTTACATTTTTTATAATGCTAATATTACATATAAATTAGTACAGTTGTTGAATTTTTACCTTGCAACTGTTTTCAGATATTAGCCTGGGGTGTTTCTGCATTGATTTCGCATTTTTTACATGCATGGCATTGCCTCTTAATACAGTCCATCCCAAAGCATGTTATATACTACATACTTTTATATCAACAGAAGGAGGTCAATTATAACAAGTTTGTCATATTTCTCAGTGGTATTTTGTCACTACTTGAATGAGTTCATGGCAAAGGGTCAACCAATAGAGATATAGAAAGGGGGGGAATCCCAGTAAACTTTAATCCACGAAACTCCCTCTGGCTTAACTATGTTGATTTGAGGAACCAGCCTCTCTGGTCTGTTCAAGTCAGTTTCTGTTTCTCAATTTCCATCTTAAAAAGAGGGCATTATTTGAGGGAAGCAAGGACTGGTGTGATTTCTGTGAAAGCACTCCTCACCAATTTTCTATCATATGTGGATATAATATTCTGTAGAGAGGCCCCTTCTTCAGGGTCAGCCTATAGTGTAGTGACCCTTTAGAGATCATTTAGAAATGAAAAGACTTAGACTCAACTTTATTTATCCCATGGGATTACTCCTTTAGGAAAATTCTGGTTCCAATAGCTTAT